AGATAATTGGAATATTTAAGGACGAATGTGGTGGTAAAAGTATGACTGGCTTCGTGGGACTTCGACCAAAATTATATGCGTACAAAATGGATGATGGAGACACTACCAAGAAAACAAGGAGTTACAAAGGCTGTCATCAAGCAGCATATTACCTTTGACAACTATAAGAGATGTTTTGACACCCATCAGGAAATATACCGACCGATGAATATTTTCCGAAGTTACCGCCATCAGATCTACACTCAAGAGATCAACAAGGTTGCACTTTCGGCTAAAGATACCAAGCGACACATTCTCCCCGACGGAATTAGCACCCTTCCTCACGGACATTATAAAATTGAGGAGCAACACCGCCTGCAATAAATAAAGTATGGGTAAAACTCAGAAAAAAATTAAATACCTCGAGGTGCAAAATGTAGTTCTTCCCCACAAGCCTCTGTCGAATAAGGAATTGGAGAACGCCGTCACAGCCCTAGGAATCCCAAGTTTTAGAGGGTTTTTTTGGCGAGATACCCTACCACCCAGTCCGCGCCGCATCGAATGTGGAATCTTGAATCATAATAGCTGGGAGGGTCCTGGAACGCATTAGACTTGCTGGTATAAACGTGGACCGGTAAAGTATTACTTTGACTCTTATGGATTGCCACCGCCTGCAGAGATGGTGAACTACTTACAGCCTGAAATTCGATATAGCACCGACAAATTACAGCAACGAGGCTCGGTGGTGTGTGGTCACGTTTGCCTATTCGTGTTGAAAGTGTTGGCGACTGGAAAATCGCTGGAAGATACAATCTTCTCACTCTATAAAAAAAAGGATAAGTTTGGATCTCATGCAAGAAAGCGCGCATCCCTTTGGCGAATGCTGCAGGATTTGGATATGAACGACAATCGCATTACTAGCCTAGGATATCCCAAGGACAGCTCGGATGCCGTGACAAAACGGTGGTTGACCCAACAGTTGAACGATGGTATACAAGACATCAATGATCTAGAGGCTGCGCTTGAAGCAATCTCGAAAGAGCTTGAGGTGGAGAAGAAACGTTTAATCGTATGTTGCGATTCCAGCGCTCGACAACACTCGACTTCTCCTCATTCTCAGTGGAGTAGAGCTCAATATCAGGCTTTTGGAGCAGCTGCTTTACATCGTTGTTGTAAAACTCAGTACCTGTGTCTGTCCACAATTTCTCAGGAACGCGCTCCTTGAACACCGCTTGAAAGGCATCCCGCACCGTCACACCCTTCTTGTTTTTGAGTGGTATCAACCAGCCATATTTGGAGAAGACATCGATGATGCTCAGGATGAACTTCTTTTCTCTGCTGTCCCTGGAAAAGGCACTCATATCAACAAGGTCGGCCACCCAGGTCTCATCCACACAACCCACTACCACACGGCGTTTCTGAAACTTGCGTCGAACAGGTTTGTGCAACTCCTCAGCTAAATCATCGGTCCAGTGAACTTTTTTTTTTAATACCCAGACCAAATCGAGCTTTGGTACCGATGATGGGTCCGACGATACTGCGGTCCATGCGCTCGCGTGTGGTAGGGTTGGGAATGGTGTTAAGCGAGGCTAGCATAGCTTTGTCACAGATGGAGTTGCGTGCGGCTGTATCCTTGTGCTGGGCATAACGGAGATCGTGGTGATATGCAGCATGGTGAACTCGATTAATGGGTTTTGACTAAGCCTTCGGTGTGCCATCGGGGAGGAGCCGCTTGCTAAGTTTAGTCCCTGGTCCGGTGAAGTTGTGTCCGGGCAGATGCATTTCCATGGGTAATCGGTTGATTAGTTTGTTCATGAACCCTGCACCGGTTGTAGCAACAAACTGAGACTTCTTGGCACCGCACACCATGCAGTTGCCAAACTTCCTCCATCGCCCGTTGCTGGTAATTGTCTCGCCAGGGTTAACTGTGTCCGTCTTCCTACGACATTTCACGCAGAAGATCATTGCTATTTTATTTAAATAAATGAACGTCGAAGACATTTCCTACAGTACCAACGCCCCCAAAATGAGCAATCACTACCTCCTACCGCAGCGGTCGATCAGAGTGTTGATCATTGGGAAGTCGGACTGTGGTAAGACAACGCTGTTGAACAACCTACTCCTGCGCGATGGATGGCTTGACTACGATCGATTGTACGTTTTTGGAAAATTGCTTCACCAGCCCATCTACTTACTGTTGCAGCAAGCGCTGGGAACAGGTTTCCCTAAGGAAGATATCCGAGACCTCCTACAGTGCAAGGGCAAGTCACTCTACTCGTTGATCGATGTGGTCAACGCCTTACCACAACCACGACACCCAAATGGTATCGACACTTTTTTTTCTTCGAGCAAGGGAGCGATGTACCAGACCCCCGGGAACTTGACCCCAGCTGCAAGAACCTCATAGTGTTCGACGACTTGATGCTAGGCAAACAGAACACGTGTGAAGATTACTACGTGCGCGGTCGCCACAACAACGTCGATTGTTTCTACCTGTGCCAGAACTACTTCAAACTGCCCGACAATCGATCCGAGAAAATGCAAACTTTATCTGTCTCTTTCAGTAAGATGCTAAGAATCTCGATCATATCCGGCGTGACCACTGCAACGATCTTACCAAGTAACAATTTGACGCTCTGTGTAAGCATTGCTGGTCCCAACCCTATTGATTTGTAACCATCGATCTCACGAGCCCTAAGTCAGCAGGGAAATACCGATACAAATTAGATGAGTTCTATGAGGTATAAGATAAAGAATGGATCAGTTTGAAGATTTCGTCCTGGAAATGGAGTATGAAGACACAGAGGAACCCCAGCCCTACAAGTTTTAGTGGCCCTGCAAATGTAAGTTCGAGTGGGACTGAGTCGATATAAGGAGTATGTGTTGGAAGTGTGGTCGCGCGATCCCCCGCCCGATCGATAGCGGTGTAGGTGATTTCGACGCATGAAACTCTGGCCGCCAGTATGGTAAGGTGAGCGCTTTCCTCTACCCCAATGCCCTACCAAGACGATTCGAGGCCATCAGTGTACACACCCATGCCAACCGCGTAAAGACCTATGCCTAAGACACTTGAAGCTTTCGAAGAGAATACAACCATACTCGTTACCCCCATTGTTTCAACAACTTTTTAAACGCTAAATGAAAGATATTTTTTCAAACGCTATAAGGTGTTTGGAAAAACGTCTATAAACGCTATGGGGCGTTCACACCAAGGCTATGAGGCGGTTAACAGCGTTCGCTCCTATAAATAAATGACGTTTATCAAGATTACCGACCCTAAGCAGCGTGAGGCGCTTGCCAGGGAGTTGCAAGACACCAAGCGGAAAATTCAAGCCAGTAATATGCAGCATCGCCTCGACAAGATTGGACTTAGCCGAGACCTTTCCAAAGTGTTTAAGCCTGTGGTTGAGGCTCAGCGAGAGGGAGCTTTACAGATCACCAAAACGATCGCAGACCTTCCTGCAGCAGTGCCAGCAATTCCTCCTCCACCGCCCGAGTTTGCCGACCCACTACCCATCGCACCAGCTACATACACCGTCCTTGGACCCCGAGCACGGCAGTATTTGCAGCTCAGTATGACTCCTTCCGCCGACCACACCTTTGGATTGCGATCTGAAAACAATAGTATCTTTATCGGAAGCTCACCAGTTACTTTTGACGGTGATGATATTTTCGTGGATGGTGTGAGGTACAAAGGAACCCTTGGTCTCTGGTAACTCATGGTGAAAAAGAATTCTGAATCGTTCGAGCCCGACGACCTAGAGGACTATGCACAGATTCTAAAAAGTTCCGGTGCCATGTATCAAGGCAATTCCACCCTCTCGAGAACCCCGAAGGCGAATAAGGGTTACAAGTGGAAGGAAATCGTGTCCCACATCTACCAAAAGAATAAGTTTGGCAGTGGGCTGCAAACCGTGTTTTTACCTTCAAACTTCAAACAGCTTCTCGATCGCTTGGAACTGTGTGCCGCAGCATACCGAGCAGGAAATAATGGTGTGCGCAACGAAATTGTGTCGATTATCGATGCTATGAGAAAGGGTAGACATATCAGCATCGAGGAATATAAGGCGCTTCATCGTAGCATCCTATAAATAAATGTTGCAAATCAAAAAAGGTTACGCTCGAAAGTACGCCTACGGTGGTAGAGGACTGTTTGACACAATCGCCAGTTTGGCTTGACGCATGTTTACTTCCTATGCCGCTAAAACCCTAGGAAGTAAGGCCGTGAGTGCTGCCACCAATGCAGCCTTGAAAGGTGTTGAAAATGGGGCCTCCAAAGCCGTCGACCATGTGGTTGATAAAGTGACCCGCAAGAAGCCAGAGCAAGTTCGGTCTTATCTCCGGCCCTGGTATCAAAACCATCCACGACTTCGTCCAACGCTATAAATAAATACATTATGACTGACATCCGTACAATCACCGAAGGGTTGACCTTCCACGAAAGTCTTCAGGAATATCAGGTTCGAGAATACGAACCACAAGCCGGTGCCCAGCTGAACAGTGCCGGTTTTGAAATCCGAATCAACATCGAAACCCAGGATTTGTTCCTACACCCCGACGAGAGTTATCTCTTGGTAGAAGGACGGCTCCTAAATAACGACGGCACTGCATATGCCGACACTGATCTCGTGTCCCTCGTCCATAATGGTATCATGTATCTCTTCAGAACCATCAGCTATCGACTCTCCGGCCAGCAAATCGAGCACATCAACGACCCCGGCGTCGCAACCACCATGATGGGAATGTTGACCTACCCCGACGACTTTTCCATATCACAAGGTCTCAACCAACTGTGATTCAAGGATTCCTCCATCGACGCCCATGCAAACAACACCGGCTTTGTAGCGCGCCGTGGCTACATCATTGCCAAACAAAGGGTCGTGTTCATTCGCCATCCCCCTGAAGCACATTTTTGGGTTCGCTGATGACTACGACAAGATCGTGTACGGGTTCAGGCATGAAATCACACTCGTGCTCAATTCCACGCCGTCGACGTGGGAAAAGTTGTCCTGCGTAAGATCTCATGGTTCGTCCCCCACGTCACTCCTTTAGACGAAAACAAGATGCAGCTATACAAAACCATTCAGAGTAAAGCGAAGATCAACTGTGGATTTCGAGGCTCCTTCCAAGGGTTCATTCTCTCTGTTCAGACTACTGCAGGCCCATACCCTTGTCGTTTCTCCTTCTTTGTTTTTCAAGGTGAGGATCTTACTCCTCCCAAACTTCCCATCTACTTCTACCACTTCTAGGATTTTATATTTTACCCAGGTTTGGAATTCCTTCCATTTTAGGGTTTCCAGGCTCTGGTCCTTTGCCTTTTCCTCGAAAACATTATCATTAATAAAATCGTCGTCTACGATTTTTGAACTTCTGAGTTCCTCCATCTTTTGTACGAAAGCCATATTTTTGTATCTACCCCTAGGATTACATCCCTTTAAGGTGTCTCTACTATTGTTTACAAAAAGCCATATTCTTGTTTCCACCCTTAGACTAGTTGAAACACAATGCATTTGCATTTTATGTTTGCGGTTTGGGTCCCTATGCAAGATTTGTGTTTAAAAATGGCAAGTGCGGCAGAATCCCCCTTTTTACACTACAATCCACCATTAGTTTTCTGTAGAAGCCATGGAATAGGCCAACCCCCTGTTTTAAACATTTTTTTTTAATTTTGAGCTCTAGTTTCAATTTTTTTTAACATAGCGCCCTTCGATACCTTGCGCAAAAGATGCGCCTGTTTCTCCTCTACAAGATCTATATAGTCATATCCCGTGACACCCCTCCTTTTTTTCTCTAGAAGCCATGGAATAGGCCAACCCCCCTTTTTTAACAATTTTTTTTTCAAATTTTGAGCTCTAGTTTCAGATTTTTTCAAGGTAGCGCCCTTCGATACCTTGCGCAAGAGATGCGCCTGTTTCTCCTCTACAAGACCTATATAGTCATACCCCGTGACACTCCTCATTATTTTTCTCTAGAAGCCATGGAATAGGCCAACCCCCCCCTGTTTTTAACAATTTTTTTCAAATTTTGAGCTCTACTTTCAGATTTTTGAACATAGCGCCTTTCGAAACCTTGCGCAAGAGATGCGCCTGTTTCTCTTCTACAAGACCTATATTGTCATACCCCGTGACACCCCTCACTATTTTTCTATAGAAGACATGGAATAGGCCAACCCCCCTGTTTTAAACATTTTTTTTCAAATTTGAGATCTAGTTTCAGATTTTTGAACATAGCGCCCTTCGATACCTTGCGCAAAATATGCGCCTGCTTCTCTTCTACAAGACCTATATAGTCATACCCGGTGACACCCCTAATTATTTTTCCCTAGAAGCCATGGAATAGGCTAACCCTCTGTTTTTAACAAATTTTTTTTTCAAATTTTGAGCTCTAGGTTCTGATTTTTGAACATAGCGCCCTTCAATACCTTCCGCAAAAGATGCGCCTGTTTCTCCTCTACAAGACCTATATAGTCATACCCCGTGACACCCCTCATTATGTTTCTCTAGAAACCATGGAATAGGCCAACCCCCCTGTTTTTAACAATTTTTTTTCAAATTTTGAGCTCTAGTTTCAGATTTTTGAACATAGCGCCCTTCGATACCTTGCGCAAAAGATGCGCCTGTTTCTCCTCTACAAGACCTATATAGACATACCCCGTGACACCCCTCATTATTTTTCTCTAAAAACCATGGAATAGGCCAACCCCCCTGTTTTTAACAATTTTTTTCAAATTTTGAGCTCTAGTTTCAGATTTTTGAACATAGCGCCCTTCGATACCTTGCGCAAAAGATGCGCCTGTTTCTCCTCTACAAGACCTATATAGTCATACCCCGTGACACCCCTCATTATTTTTCTGTGGAAGCCATGTACTAGGCCAACCCCCTGTTTTTAACAATTTATTTTTCAAATTTTGAGCTCTAGTTTCAGATTTTTGAATATAGCGCCCTTCGATACCTTGCGCAAAAGATGCGCCTGTTTCTCCTCTACAAGACCTATATAGACATACCCCGTGACACCCCTCATTATTTTTCTCTAAAAACCATGGAATAGGCCAACCCCCCTGTTTTTAACAATTTTTTTCAAATTTTGAGCTCTAGTTTCAGATTTTTGAACATAGCGCCCTTTGATACCTTGCGCAAGAGATGCGCCTGTTTCTCCTCTACAAGACCTATATAGTCATACCCCGTGAAACTCCTCATTATTTTTCTCTAGAAGCCATGGAATAGGCCAACCCCCCTGTTTTTAACAATTTTTTTCAAATTTTGAGCTCTAGTTTCAGATTTTTGAACATAGCGCCTTTCGATACCTTGCGCAAGAGATGCGCCTGTTTCTCTTCTACAAGACCTATATTGTCATACCCCGTGACACCCCTCATTATTTTTCTGTAGAAGCCATGGAACAGGCCAACTCCCCTATTTTTAACATTTTTTTTCAAATTTTGAGCTCTAGTTTCAGATTTTTGAACATAGCGCCCTTCGATACCTTGCGCAAAAGATGCGCCTGTTTATCCTCTACAAGACCTATATAGACATACCCCGTGACACTCCTCATTATTTTTCTCTAGAAACCATGGAATAGGCCAACCCCCCTGTTTTTAACAATTTTTTTCAAATTTTGAGCTCTAGTTTCAGATTTTTGAACATAGGGCCCTTCGATACCTTGCGCAAGAGATGCGCCTGTTTCTCCTCTACAAGACCTATATAGTCATATCCCGTGACACCCCTCATTATTTTTCTCTAGAAACCATGGAATAGGCCAAACCCCCCTGTTTTTAACATTTTTTTTTCAAATTTAAGCTCTAGTTTCAGATTTTTGAACATAGCGCCCTTCGATACCTTGCGCAAAAGATGCGCCTGTTTATCCTCTACAAGACCTATATAGACATACCCAGTGACACCCCTCATTATTTTTCTCTAGAAACCATGGAATAGGCCAACCCCCCTGTTTTTAACAATTTTTTTCAAATTTTGAGCTCTAGTTTCAGATTTTTGAACATAGCGCCCTTCGATACCTTGCGCAAGAGATGCGCCTGTTTCTCCTCTACAAGACCTATATAGTCATATCCCGTGACACCCCTCATTATTTTTCTCTAGAAGCCATGGAATAGGCCAACCTCCCTGTTTTTAACAATTTTTTTCAAATTTTGAGCTTTAGTTTCAGATTTTTGAACATAGCGCCTTTCGAAACCTTGCGCAAGAGATGCGCCTGTTTCTCTTCTGCAAAACCTATATTGTCATACTCCGTGACACCCCTCATTATTTTTCTGTAGAAGCCATGGAATAGGCCAACCCCCCCTGTGTTTAACATTTTTTTTCAAATTTGAGCTCTAGTTTCAGATTTTTTAACATAGCGCCCTTCGATACCTTGCGCAAAAGATGCGCCTGTTTCTCTTCTACAAGACCTATATAGTCATACCCCGTGACACCCCTCATTATGTTTCTCTAGAAACCATGGAATAGGCCAACCCTCCTGTTTTTAACAAATTTTTTTCAAATTTTGAGCTCTAGTTTCAGATTTTTGAACATAGCGCCCTTCAATACCTTGCGCAAAAGATGCGCCTGTTTCTCATCTACAAGACCTATATAGTCATACCCCGTGACACCCCTCATTATTTTTCTCTAGAAGCTATGGAATAGCCCAACCCCTCTGTTTTTAACACTTTTTTTCAAATTTTGAGCTCTAGTTTCAGATTTTTGAACATAGCGCCCTTCGATACCTTGCGCAAAAGATTCGCCTGTTTCTCCTCTACAAGACCTATATAGACATACCCCGTGACACCCCTCATTATTTTTCTCTAAAAACCATAAAATAGGCCAACCCCCCGGTTTTTAACAATTTTTTTCAAATTTTGAGCTCTAGTTTCAGATTTTTGAACATAGCGCCCTTCGATACCTTGCGCAAGAGATGCGCCTGTTTCTCCTCTACAAGACCTATATAGTCATACCCAGTAACACCCCTACTTATTTTTCTCTAGAAACCATGGAATAGGCCAACCCCCCTGTTTTTAACAAATTTTTTTCAAATTTTGAGCTCTAGTTTCAGATTTTTGAACATAACGCCCTTCGATACCTTGCGCAAGAGATGCGCCTATTTCTCCTCTACAAGACCTATATAGTCATACCCGGTGACACCTCTCATTATTTTTCTCTAGAAGCCATGGAATAGGCCAACCCCCCCTGTTTTTAACAATTTTTTTCAAATTTTGAGCCCTAGTTTCAGATTTTTGAACATAGCGCCTTTCGAAACCTTGCGCAAGAGATGCGCCTGTTTCTCTTCTACAAGACCTATATAGTCATACCCCGTGACACCCCTCATTATTTTTCTGTAGAAGCCATGGAATAGGCCAACCCCCCTGTTTTTCACATTTTTTTTCAAATTTGAGCTCTAGTTTCAGATTTTTGAACATAGCGCCCTTCAATACCTTGCGCAAAAGATGCGCCTGTTTCTCTTCTACAAGACCTATATAGTCATACCCCGTGACATCCCTAATTATTTTTCCCTTGAAGCCATGGAATAGGCCAACCCTCTGTTTTTAACAATTTTTTTTTTCAAATTTTGAGCTCTAGTTTCAGACTTTTGAACATAGCGCCCTTCAATACCTTCCGCAAAAGATGCGCCTGTGTCTTCTCTACAAGACCTATATAGTCATACCCTGTGACACCCCTCATTATGTTTCTCTAGAAACCATGGAATAGGCCAACCCCCCTGTTTTTAACAATTTTTTTTCAAATTTTGAGCTCTAGTTTCAGATTTTTGAACATAGCGCCCTTCGATACCTTGCGCAAAAGATGCGCCTGTTTCTCTTCTACAAGACCTATATAGTCATACCCCGTGACACCCCTCATTATTTTTCTCTAGAAGCTATGGAATAGCCCAACCCCCCTGTTTTTAACACTTTTTTTTCAAATTTTGAGCTCTAGTTTCAGATTTTTGAACATAGCGCCCTTCGATACCTTGCGCAAAAGATGCGCCTGTTTCTCATCTACAAGACCTATATAGACATACCCCGTGACACCCCTCATTATTTTCTCTAAAAACCATGGAATAGGCCAACCCCCCTGTTTTTAACAATTTTTTTTCAAATTTTGAGCTCTAGTTTCAGATTTTTGAACATAGCGCCCTTCGATACCTTGCGCAAAAAGATGCGCCTGTTTCTCCTCTACAAGACCTATATAGTCATACCCCGTGACACTCCTCATTATTTTTCTCTAGAAGCCATGGAATAGGCCAACCCCCCTGTTTTTAACAGTTTTTTTCAAGTTTTGAGCTCTAGTTTCAGATTTTTGAACATAGCGCCCTTCGATACCTTGCGCAAAAGATGCGCCTGTTTCTCCTCTACAAGACCTATATAGTCATACACCGTGACACCCCTCATTATTTTTCTCTAGAAACCATGGAATAGGCCAACCCCCCTGTTTTAAACAATTTTTTTTCAAATTTTGAGCTCTAGTTTCAGATTTTTGAACTTAGCGCCCTTCGATACCTTGCGCAAAAGATGCGCCTGTTTCTCCTCTACAAGACCTATATAGTCATACCCCGTGACACCCCTCATTATTTTTCTCAAGAAGCCATGGAATAGGCCAACCCCCATTTCTGCAAATGTGTATCTTTGTTCAATTAAACAATGACATCAAAGATGCTGTATTTTACAGGGAAGGACTACTTTTACATACGTACTAAATGGAAGTGGGTGCATTGGTGGTTTTACACCTACAAATAATCCGTTGACAGATGCAGATTTACTGTGGTACTGAATATTAGCCTAAAAAGATATGTGACTTGTTTTATCAATGGATGGGATAAATACCATTTCATGATAGAGTTGAAATTGCAATATTTGGACGGAATTTCTGCCTGTTTAAATATTTTTCATTTAACGGCCGTTGCTGTCTTATTCATTTTTTCGGTTTTTAGATGTATCGCCTTATTGTTCGCTGGCTTATTGTTCGCTAGTTATTGTTCGCTAGCTTCAGCCTGGTTCAGGAGTATGGCAGTTGTTATCAAATATTCCGTTTCTATGTATGTTGGCGTTTGTTTTTGTAGCAGTTCAGTGTTTATGTTGTTCTGTTGTTTTCCTATTATATTTGATATGTTTCCCTCGGTTTTGGATGGTTTTCACAATTTGGATGTTTTTGTGTATATAGTTTTTGTTGACCTGTTTCAGCAAGACGGGTTGGGTATGGTCCAAAACATGGAAGTACCAAACCTTACGAATCATTCCAACAAGCCAGTACCAATACGAACGACACAAAACAGCGATTTTTTTATAATAAGTTTTATATGTGTTTACGGTTTGGTAGTTTTGTTTTCAACATAATAAAATTGAGAATGGAAATGGGGAATGTGTCAAAGAGACAACAACCCGACCATAGAGCAGACAACAGCCGAAGGCCACCAATGGGTCTTTAATGCAGCGAGAAACTCCCGGACCCGGAGTTACATGATGGCTGTATCATTTACCATATATCATATCTTAATAAAACCCAGATATATAAAAATATTACACCCCAGTTCTATTGTTATTCTACACAGTTTCTATTTCTGAAACAAGTGTAAATTGACTAGATCTATTGTTACGAATTACAATGGATTTTGACCACAGGGTGTGACGAGCTGGGTTTCTGGAAACCCCTGCTTCTACATCCCGAAAACACAGTCCATTGTTATTCATAACAATATGAATTTTTTTTTTAATAGCATGAACATAAGAGATTACGAATAGACGAGTGTTCACTACAAGTTGTTTCAAGTCATATTAAAAAAACATATTTCAGGAAATTTCAATAACGAAAAAAATCTTTAGCATCTATTTTAATTTAAATAAAATCATTTAAATACTTCTTAGCTTGAAGCTACAATTTTAATCCCATATGGCAATGTTTTAAAAACATACATAAAAAGAACTTTTGTGTAAATTATACATTAAAACATATAGTTTACATTTGGACTAAGTCTTAACCATAAAACAAAATTTATTAATGTTTGGACCTCCCCCCCCCCCCCCCCCCCCCCCCCCCCCCCCCACACACACACACACACACTTTGGAATGCAATCTGTATCTTTGTATGTTAAGCGTGTCCGGTCGTCCAGTTTCTAATCCAGACACACCTATTCCTCAGTATGTTCGAAATGAATGTTTGTTTGTTAAATGTTGAGAAGAGGTTGGGGGGGGGGGGGGGGGGGGGGCTTTTTTTTATAAAACCGTAAGTTACATGTAAAATAAATTTATGATTACCTTTATGGGTTATAAATATTGCGTTATCTTTAGACTCTTGTGCAAAATCCAACGCCTGACTCAAAATATCGTCCGTTTCATACCCGTCTATATTGACAACTGCATACAGGAGCATGATTTTTTTTTTGTATTAAGAATGCACGATATAGACAACCTTGACCTGCTGATCCATATTAGCACATGAATTTAACGGGAATATGAAAACGGCAACTTTGACATTTGTAAAATCTACTCACTTGTCAAAGTTCGAATGAAGACCGTAAAAGTAAGGTTACTAGTGGGGTTTCATTTGAACACAAAATTCTTATTAATCATGGTTTGATATTGTCAAAAAAAATGCTATCCCTTATTTTTCATTTAAAATTTAATGTAAACAAATATAGGGTTTAGCATCGGGTGTAAGTTAGTTATACACTTCGGGATACGGTGTGTCTGGATAAGAAACCCCTCCGGCCTCCGGCCGTCGGGGTTTCTTATCCAGACACACCTATCCCTCGGTGTATAACTATTACGTAATATGTGGTATGATTGTCAATGAGACAACTATCTACCAGAATCCAAATGACGTGGATGTAAGAAATTATAGGTCACTGGGGCCTTTAACAATTAGAAAAATCCATACCGTAAAGTCAGCTATAAAAGGCACTACGCTCTTTACCTAATGGCTTTAATTATAACACTACAATTTAAAAAAAAAAAATCGAAAAAAAATCGATACATATTTGCCATTACATACATGTAACTGTGTCCCATATTCGTACGTCGACAAGAAAAGTTAAACAAAATTTACGAAAAGAATGTCTGTTTTCCTGTTCACGTGTACTTTAACCCGTAATTGGGTCATCTATAGTAAAGGTTGTAAACTGTATTGTTTTTACTGATGAATGAAAGTTACATGTGTTTAATTGAGAATGAACAATGACGATTAAACATTAACATTAAACATATGGTTTTGGTCAGGCAGACCGAACAGAGAGAAGTCTTTCTTTTTGTATTTTTGGTTTTTTTTACATGATTTTCTGTGTTTTTTTTTCTACTTAGTTATATAATGTTCTACTACGTTAAGTGTATTACATATGAAATTGATAAGACTGTAAAGCCAAAACTAGATAATGGCTAATTATTGTATCAATTTAACTTCCCTTAATGTAAAAGGCTTTGGAAACGATTTTAAACGTAAATCCATGTTTCTTTGGTTGAAAAAATGTCAAAGCGACATCATTTTCTTACAAGAAACACACAGTATTTAATCCTATGAAACTAAACGGAAAAGGGAATGGGGTGGAGATATTTATTTTGCACACGGGGAAACGAATTTAAGAGTCTTAAAATGTATCATATACTGTGTATTCACATCCTAAACTTGTAAATTTTTACTATGTCTTATTTGCATAATAACAATAGTATAACAATGCCATAAATGTAAAGCCATTCACTTATGTCTTGTAAAAATGTAGGTATGCACTGTAGTTTGAACACCAAAAAGATTAATAAAAAATAAAAAAAATTTTTATGAAAAACAAATATGACAGACACGAACCAACGACAACACTTAGTAACAGACTCCTGAATTCGACCAGGCACATAAAAACATGGCAGGTTTAAACGTATATTTGTAAGAGCTTAAACCTCCCCTAACCTGGGACAGTGTTGTAGCAGCACAACATAAGAACAAACTGTAAAAATCAGTAGAAAATGGCATAACTAAATAGATTGTTACGATAGTAAAACAAAACAATAGACAGAAGCAACTTACTTACAGTTACTTAGTTAAAGCCAATTACAACCAATAAATACATCATGGTCCTCAAGAAAAAAGTATCAATCCGTACACATCCAACGGATGTGCAATGCCAAAATATAAGTAAACAGTATCGACAGGGTGTAGGATCATGACAATTCATATCTATACATATATAGCAATATGTTTTCAGATATGTTTTAATTTTTCAAAAAAAAAAAAAAACCTATGTTAGTACCGATAAAGCAATTTTAAGTTTTTACTCGGTGTTAAATTGACAACCTTACAGAATATTTTTATTCAAAAGATCAATGAGTTTACGTGGATTGTATCTAAATTTACAGGCTGTATAAACAACACCACCGTAAAAATATTGTCGTTTCCCTTCTCTTGTCCTCTTTTCCTCGGTTGTAACATTATCGAATTAGACTGAACACCAAAGTTGCACTTACCATCAACAACACGTCGGGTGACTCATATTGTGCAGGACATGCTTACCTTCCGTAACACCCCCGATTTTGGTGGGGTTCATGTTGCACAGTCTTTAGTTGTTCATATAGTGTTTTGTAGACTGTTGTTTGTATTTTTTTCGGTTTTTTCGGTTTTTATGTCATGACTTTGTCAGTCTCTCTTTGATGTACGAGGTTTGAAGCATCCTTTGTTATATCCTGCATCTTATTCGTAATTATTTCCAAGGAAGTGTTTTGTGTTTATGTCATGTATATGTTTGTTGTTTTATTCGATTTAGGATTTTTGTTTTTCCTTTGGTATTTTCCACCATTTTTATATGTAAATAAAGGCAACAGTAGTATACAATATCTTCAACAGTCATAATTCGATTAAGCAAAACCAAATCCGGTGTAAACGTCTTTCAACCCATATTCGCCAAGATATCATAAGAGGTCATCAAGAGTTTCCAAATATCATGAACCTGTTATCTGTGATGGACTTCTTGATCTAAGATACACGATGCCATGTTGTTCTACGACGTTAGAAATTTCTTATCAATAACAGGTAATTTTTAACATTATTTACATTGTCTTCCATGCATTCTTTTTCTTCATATAGTAAACACAACTCTACGTTCCTTTATTATAAAACTTCTTGAAAGTATATATTATGATAAAGATAATTATTAAACTTTTATATTTATATATTTATAAATATATGGTCACATATTTTCAAGGCTGCGTTTATCTTCATGTTATTGAATGAAATAGTATTTTGAAATAAAAAGGAAATGATAAAACCTCTAAATTAAGAAAAATGGGAAAAAAAAGTTATAATAAATCTTTACTGAATTGATTTCGTATATACTTCGAAAATGCAAGACGTATATGCAAAAAGACGTGAAATATATTTTGAAAATTTAAGATCATACATTAAGAAAGTAAATACAAATCCAGTTTATTTCTGTCATTATTCAATAAATAAAGAAAAAAATGAATTGTCAAAAGGTATATTTTTTCCGTTCGATTATTAGTTACAGTTGATGTAAACATATATACGTGTTCAATGATATCATTTTCATTGCAACTGACACAAGTTTCCAATTAAAGCCATTATCGGGTTCGCTAAAGGTTAAACAATGAAATCTATGAAGATATATAAACCAAAAGGTCCGGACAGAACCTTTAGAACTGTCGAAATAAGATTTTTACCGTCTGTCTATATTTCCTTCGAAATTTCACACTTATTGAATGATTTGTGTTCATGCAGATCTCCTGGTCTGTGCCTTTTTTATGTGCTTATTTAGGTCGTTTTACGTATTCGTTTTTATTCTGTAGTTAGTCACCACTTCGGTGTTAACATGTATATCTATTATATAGTCATTTTTATAAATTTAAAGTTTGCAAAAGTATGAATTATTCTAAATACTAAGGAGTTTCTTATCCCAGGCATATAACCTTAGCCGTATTTGGCACAACTTTTTGGAACTTTTGGTCCTCAATGCTCTTCAACTTTGAACTTGTTTTGGCTTTCGATTTTTTTTCATCTGAGCGTCACTGATGGGTCTTATGTAGACGAAACGCGCGTCTAGCGTATTAAATTATAAGCCTGGTACCTTTTGATAGCTATTATTTGTGTGTGTCTTTGTCTTGTATGTTCTTCCATTTATTTGTATTGTAGTCCTGTCATGTAATCTTGTCATTTTAATGTTATATTTAACATTGCAATAAAAGCGGGAGGTTTGGCTAGCCACAAAACCAGGTTCAACCCACCATTTTTTCTCAAAATGTCCTGTACCAAGTCAGGAAAATGGCCATTGTTATATTATAGTTCGTTTCTGTGTGTGTTGCATTTTAGTGTTGTGTTTCTGTTGTATCGTTGTTCTCCTCTTATATTTTATGTGTTTCCCTCAGTTTTAGTTTGTAACCCGGATTTGTTTTTTTCTTAATCGATTTATGAATTTTGAATAGCGGTATACTACTGTTGCCTTTATTTATAATGAGCATTTTTCAATATTTATTAGACATCTTATTTATATAACTTCCCTGAGAGACGGTAAAAATCAAATTTCGACAGTTTGGACGATTTTATTCTGACCGTGTTTTGTATTATATTCTTATGTTGAAAAAGTGTCAAAATTTTTTTAGTTATTCTTCCATTATATGTGGATGCAGCCTGCAGATCTGGTTGGACCGAACATGGAACGTCTTGTTACTATTTTAGCACAGACTCGCTGAATTGGCGTGATGCCTCTGTAAGAGTATAATCGTAATGGAATTTTTCGTAATCTAAAAATATGTTGTCTCCCCCATTAACACAACTGTTAATGATAGCAGATACGACAGCTTTTAACGTGTCTTAGGTTACCACTTTGTATTTCACTTCTTTGAAGTTATATATCAATCTTGTTTTTAATATATGATTTAATATTTGATTTAATTTTATCAATAGTCCTTAATCATTCAGCTGGAAGAAATTTCAGATGATACATTGGAAGAAACAAATGTATTTCCTGCAATCTTTTCAAGGCTTACAAGCTCATCAAACATTATTTGCTACAAAAATTATTTCTTAAACCTTATTAAAGCATTCTAAGATTCAAAGAAATAACTCAGTTGTCGATAAATTAATTAATTACAAAACTATCATGAATATTTCGAAATACTAAGTTTTTCCACCCCAGGAATAGATTACATAAAATTGAGAATGGTACGGTGAATGTGTCAAAGAGACAACAATCCGACCAAATAGCAGAAAACAGCCCAAGGCCACCAATCGGTCTTTAACACAGCTGTATTTGGCAAAACCTTTTTGAACATTTGGCCCTCAATGTCCTTTTACTTCGTACTTTATTTGGCCTTTTAACGTTTTTGATTTGAGCGTCACTGCTGTGCTCGTGGACCGTGGCGAATTGTTCAAAGAGGAGTCGTATACCTTGACCATGTTTTGAATACATTCAATTTGTTTCATTATTTGAAATGTAAATGTATAAAGTTAATGTTTGAAATAATTGTCATCTGTAAAACAAAAATGCATGAGCGTTACTTATGAAACGCGCGTCTGACGTACAAAATTTTAATGCTGGTATCTTTGATGAGTTTGTATACACAGATTCCTTTAGCCGCTTGTACATAACAACCCCAGTCTATGCAAATAACTATGTACTAACTGTTTAATTTTTCTACCAAAAGAGTGATTGTCGAGCTCACTCCGCAGAACTAGTCATTATAGACTCCAAGGAAGAGAATGAGTTTATTGCAGAAGGGATAAATAATCATACGGGTTGGTATTATTGTTATTAAATAATTGATAAAATCTAAAAATTTAATGATTCCAACTAATATATGGCCTTTCATTTTAAAATTTATTTTAATTATGTATTAAAATTTTGCTCTGCGTGTACTGTCAAAGAGAACTAACAGCAACAGCAGCTTTCAATGCATGAAATTTGTTTCATATATTAAGTTTCATATTGCGTTCTCCTCCCTGAAAAAAAATGTGTATTGTCCAGTACACATTGAGCAAAAACAAATAAAAAAATTACACAACCAATTAATGTTTTGCATTTCACTATAATGTTTGAATGGAGAAAAACCTATACTTTTTTTTACCTTGGTTTAAGATAGAACTCTATAACCTGGAAACAAACACATTTAAAAATGATGATGATTTTTATTTCAAAGATACAAAATATCATCTCATTTATGCCTACTTAATTTCTCATTGTATTGTTTTTTTTTAATCACGAAAAGATAAATACATAGTTCATATATGATAATCCGATTAAGATGCTTTGAATAAGCAAATATTGTTCTACCATTAAACAAAACTAAACATCACCAGGCTTTGAGTTTTCTCTCAATTAAATTGAAATAGGAATTCAATGTTTTTGCGTCATTTTAGAAACATTAAATCACTTGATACAATGTAGATGCACGTGCAAATATGAATCTTGCCGAAAATTTGAAATTATGAAATTGTCATCGCAAATGTTGATAAAGGAGTATGTTCGATAAGGCCCTGATAAGGTACCTGCGTTTTATTCATGACCTCACAAATAGTTCTCATTTTGATTTTTCTCGGAAAAATTATTGAAAATGGGTTAATTCCCATTGATTATTGGACAGGAAACATAGAGCGCATACGTCGACAAAAAAGATCTTTTAAAATAATGTTTGTAATGGCATTTCAAATGTTTTAACTTGAATATTTGGTTTGTCGACGCCTGCGCTCTATGTTTCCTAATCCTAAATTAGGTTGAAATCCGGCTGATTTTGTCAAATGTCGCCAAAATCTCCTACCTTGACCTATTTGAGATGTAAAAATCAACGCTTTAGAATAAAACTTTGACACAAATAGGTCTATTTAACTTTCTTACATGTCTTTCAGTCAACTTAAAACATTTTTTATCTTGTAACAATGAACTTTATAATCGGGGCCAAATATGGCCCTTACCGAACATACTCCTTTACTTTGTCTGTTTTGTTCACGCATCGTTGTAAATGTAACGGAATTTGATAAGACTGTCGTACAAGTGAGAGGTTTAGCGCTATAAAACCAGGTTCAATCCACCATTTTCTACATTTGAAAATGCCTGTACCAAGTCAGGAATATGACAGTTGTTGTCCATTCGTTTGATGTGTTTTGTCATTTGATTTTGCCACGTGATTAGGGACTTTCCGATTGAATTTTCCTCGGAGTTCAGTATTTTTGTGATTTTACTTTTACTCCACTGGCATACAGACTGGAGAATTAATAAAAATGAACATATAACCATTTAAACAGTTTTACAAAAAAATTAACCATGGACTGGTTAAGGTTTTAATTCCATATTGTATGTTTTTGAAATGTTGAAATGATATTAACGGATTTCCTTGAAATTCTTAAGTAATGACATTTTTTTCACTTTTTTGTCAATACTTTAAATTAAAAAAGATATCCGATTGTTTAGAACTTTAATAGCAGTTTAAATCGTTAAACTTCAATATTAATACAAATAGACAAATGTATTGAAGAAATGCACAGATTTTATCACAATAAGTAAGTAGCAGAACTTTTGACAAAACAGTTCAAAAAGTGTAAATAATCTTATTCTTCGAAATTTAACCTGTTAATTTATGGTATAAAACCACTAATTCATAGCCCCATTGCCTTCTATGTTAAATTCTGCAATTTCAAGCATTTATGGCTACGTTGTCTTAAGTTCAAATAAGGTGGCAGTCATTTCATGTCAAAACTATACCTTATCTTGACTTCAGCATACCTTTAATTTCATATTAGAGCGTACCGGTTTCCGGATATTATATAGTACAAAAACAGGTACTTCTGATCTGAACAACAGCGCAAATGTGCCCTCCTATAATATTTTTATATACTTCTTTGTTAATCAATAGAAACTTTCAACAAGGGTTCTACATTGATCCCAAGTCCCCAAGCTTTCATTTTATACCAAAACTACCCAAATAATTCACATATTGACAAAGATACAGCTATGCGTAGGAACTATTTTGTTTAAAATATGTACTACTTTCTAGTGTGTTCTTTCCAACCGGGCCTCAATTAGTGGTTCTATACCTTATCAATGATGTAATTAATGGTGCGTTTTGTAAATATTGATTTGCTTATATATCAACATTTCACGGTCACAATGGCCAGTGTTAATACAAACAAAATGTCCACAGCTTCATCCAAATGGTACATACGTTATAATTCTATATTCATAGAAGCCTGATCTGGGGAGTTCGTTGTCACCCCTTTTCGTTCATTTTAAGTGATTAATTTATTAATGGCATGCCTTTGGCTTACAAAAGCAGCATCCACGATCTGTTTTGAAGAAACACCGGAAACACCAATAAGCTGAAAATTCGACTGAAATGACTAAGTAAACAAGAACTTTAAGTAATATTTCATCAAAAACATGTAAATAGATATAAGAAGATGTGGTTTGAGTGCCAATGAGACAACTCTCCATCCAAGTCAAAATTTATAAAAGTAAACCATTATAGGTCACAGTACGGTCTTCAACACGGAGCCTTGGCTCACACCGAACAGTAAGCTATAAAGGGCCCCAAAAAATTACTAGTGGAAAACCAACGGTCTAATCTATATAAAAAACGAGAAACGAGAAACACTTATGAACCACATCAACAAACGACAACTACTGAACATCAGATTCCTGACTTAGGACAGGTGCAAACAAATGCAGCGGGTTTAAACGTTTTAATGGTACCAAACCTTCACCCTTTTTCTGAAACAATAGTGTAACATCACAACATAGAAAGACACACTATAAAATATCAACTGAAATAGCTTAACTCAATCAAAGGACATATTAACACCATTGAACATACACTGAACAAATAAATTTGATCTATGACACATGTAAATACAAAATAAATAAACTAAGGGAAGAATAATAAAAGTAACATGTTATATCGGTAAGAAATGTTAAACAGTTAAAGAAAAACAATATGCTCGAACAAAAATATCAGCCATTTGCAATAACTTTAAACATAGGTAAATGAAAAAATTTTGTTGTTAGGTATACGTGTACAGTACCAATAGAGAAAGGAAATATTTTTACAAAATAAATAATTTTGATGTTCATAGTACGAAGTGAAAATTAATAGTTATACCAAACACTTATCAAAGCTGGTATATAGACCAGATATAACCCTGAATAACATTAAATAACAAAAAAGCAATACAATTAGTATCAACAGGTCAAATAAACAAGAAAGTACGATTTGAGAGTACTCGCTGTTACTGACAGCTAGTTAAAAGCCAAAAACTAAAATCAACTAAAACACATCCCAGGGATTTAGTATTTTAACGTCATGGACAGTCAAAGAAGACATGACTAGTGCAATGCCAAAAATAAATGTATCGACAGACAGTAGGATAGTTAGGAGTTTAACCTCTTTATAGATCTAAACGAACGTGGGTGTGTCTTTATACATCCCGCTTGAAAAAAAATACAAATTTAGTTATGTTTTAATTTGCTGATGACAAAATCGATATTAGTGCCAATGTAAACTATATTCAAAGATCTAATTACAACATTGGTAAGATAACCTTTACTAATAAGTTTGTTTAAAGGTTCGATGAGTTTACACGGATCACATAGTGATAGTAAAGACTGTTCTGTAATGGCTAAATGTAATAACAATTAAATCTGTCTGTTTCGTTGAAGATTTACACTGGTACCTTATTTCTAATGTTGCGAAGGTATCGGTTATATGTTTCTGTTTTTATTTTACGCTGATGGTTCTTGCAAAGTTTGATAGATTTTAGAAGGTACGATATTTTGTTTGAGAGTAAACTAGTTTTATCTTTTTATATCAAGGATCATTCTGGTTAGACGGTTCGGATGAATTTACAGAGGGTATTTGGGAATGGGCGTCCAACGGAGAACCTTTTGGTTTTACAAGCTGGCTTCCACATGAACCATCGAATTACCATCACAACGAGGACTGCCTTATGACACAGAAAGGGTACAATGGCAAATGGAATGACTATGGTTGTTCCCATCGAATAAAGTTTATATGTGAACAGAAGTTAGTATAAATAACATATTATTGTTTTCCCTTATTTCCACATCCTGATAGAAAGATATCATGGTCGTAAAGATTTTAATGTTTACATTGTCATTCAGAAACATAACACTCCTTCAAATACCGGCGAGTGTTTTATTTTTTTTATATTTAATTTACACTTACAAACTCAATGTTACATAAGTTCATAAGGGCGTATATTAATAACAATTTTTCAAATGATTTAAAACTAATAATCTTTTTGAAATCTTATCTCTTTATATTTCTAACGATTGGCAATATTTTGTATGTGACAAATTTGATGTCAAATAGAATTCAAATGTTGAGCCTTTCTTTTTCATTTTGACGATAAAATTATATCTAACATTTAAAATCACTGTATGAATTTTGTTCTGGTTGAATTAATTGGGTACGTTCATAGTGTTTAGTGTCTTTGATTCCTCTTTTGGTATATACCGCCTTTATCAGTCTGTTTAGATATTTTTGAAAAGTTATTGTTAAAAAGAATACACAAAAAACTAGTATCATTTTCTAGATTTGAACTTATAAACGTGTGAAACCTATTTTAAAAATATAAAAAGAAACGTTCTCCTGCATTCAATGATTTCTTCGGAAGACCGATTATCAGGAGATTGATTAATGAATGATTACCATATGTAGTAATTAGCACTTCTGTGTTGATTAGAATTGTGATTGATATTGTCATATTAATAAGTTAACTGTTAACAAAACTTTGAATTGTTCGGGATACCAAGGATTTTCTTCCCAAGGAATAGATTACCTAAGTTGTATTTGGCAAATTTTTTTTCTCGATTTTTTGGGTCCTTGATGCTCTTCAACTTCGTACTTTATCTATGCTTTCGGTTTTCAGCATTTTGTTTTTAAATCAGCACTTTTACAAATGTTTTCTGTATTTTTGCTTTCTGTTTTCAGTTTGGAAGACCCTATCATTGGATGACTTGTGCATTTTCTACTTTCAACACTTCATATGAACCGAAATAAAACAGATTTATAAATTACTAAGCTTTTGAATTATTTGATTTATCTGCATTTAAATTGAAATTTTTGAGTGTTAATGCATTTGACGGGTGTCACATGTGGGGCAGGATGTACTTACCCTTTCGGTGAAACTGAGATCTCCGCCGGTTTTTTTAAGGGATTTCTATTGCTCGTCTTTATTTTCAATGATGTGTTTTGTATACTGTTGTTTGTATTTTGGTCGTTTTTCTTTTTTGGTCATGGTGTTGTCAGTTTGTTTTCGACTTGTGAGTTTGAATGTCCCTTTGATATCTTTCGCATCTCTTTTGTATTAATATATATCCTAAGATTACTAAAAACACAATGACTGACACAATTAAAAATAAGATAAAACTGAAGAAAAAAAATGTTTATTTTACATTTTGTTAAATGGATGCCCATCGAAACCTATGTAGTTGTGTCACTTTTTCTTTCTCTTTAGCTTAGATAACCCTATCATTGGATGACTTTGACGAGTTTCCTGAACTACCGGTAGTTATCAACATAGATCAATAAAAATTTTGTCTGCAGATTCGCCTTATTTTAAAGTAAATTTCATCTGTTACCCGTTTACTTTTTTTGGGGGGTATTTCCGGAAAAAATGAAGAAAGAATTTTGTGACATTTTTTTTATCTGATGATGGTACATAACACTACAGGGAGAACATTCTCAAAAAAAATCAGCTAAACGTTTTAATCACGTTCTATTGTTAAGGAAATATTAAGCTTCTCAATGATCAAAATTAGTGTTTGTCAAACTCCTATATATTCAATGAAACTTTTCCGATAAAGTGTGTGGTTCAATTTTTTTGAAACTTTTATATTTTTGTCAAAGGTCTAAAGCAAATATTTTGTCAAAATTTTATGAAAACATTTTGATCAAACACAATGCCAATTCTTTATATTGTATTTCTGTAGTTTCGGTTTTGGTTAAGGTATGTAGAAAAGGGAATTGAGGAAGATCTGTGAGAAAGACAAAGAGAACTAAACTAGAAATACAATTTCTGATATATATATTCCTTTTTGCAAAAGATTTTCAATATGCAAAGGTGCGGAAGCACTGAAAATCTTATACCAAGAAAAATGGTTTTGGTAGATTTTCATTTGTTAAAAATCGATCAAGAAATAAAAAAGTTACACCACTGCTAAAAGGGAAATCATGTGAAACTGGCTTGACAGGTATGTTGAGTAAAATTGTTATAACACTAGCATCGGTGGCACTCGAGAAACAAGACTTGTATGATTGGCAAGAGGTAAAATTGCGTCTGCTGACGATAGGCGCTGTTAAAGGGTCGAATCGAGTCGAATTTTTCTATGGCGATTTAAAGAAAAAAGTTCTTATCGATTATCATTATATGATATCTGAGAAATAACCTTGCGAATGTAAAAATTATTTATTTTTCCGGTACGGAATAAACTATTGGTTTAAGCAGAATGACATAATTACTGCCATTAAAAGATTTCCTTTTTGTAATTGAAGAAAAAGGTAATATAAAAATACAGTAGTAGATGAGCTGTTTTGATACACCCTTCCAGCTTTAAAAATGTAAACAACACTTACCATAATGTATTACAATATAACTTTCAGCCGACTGGTTCAATACCGAGTCTCAAATTAATTTGCGAAAAAGGGAGAAAGTGGAAACTAGAAAATTAAAATGTTTCAAATGTGAAGTTCTTTTATAGATAAAACCTAGGTTCCATCTACCATTAATGTAAAAGCAAAAGGGTTTTAATATTTGTAAGAATTAGCTGCTTAATTCTTTTTTTTCTGTCTATTCGTCACAAAAATTTTCAACTTTCAAGAAGTACTATGAATATCGTTCGTGTCGAGCTAATAAACTAAAAAGCTATTCCCTGAAAAGGATTATTTGACATCAACAACAAAAATTGACATCAACAACAAAAAACGCTAGGAATTGACTTTGCAGTCAGTGAAATATTTAATACATGTCACCAACCCGTCGGGTTACAAATGTGCATTAATGAATAAATACCGGAATTAATTTGTGAATTGAACATTTATATACATGTATAACAGGGTATTGGTTTCGATGGGTAAAACAGATCCAATCTGCTCTTTACGATTCCAAAGTCATTGTATTAAAATCCGGGAAATCGGAACAATCTGTGACAAAAACTTGCTGCACACGATAGCAAATACAATTGTTTTGTAAGTCGTTCGGTAACACAGCTTTTATTGTACAGTATATGGTGTAGAAATAACCAGTTATAAGGTTGTAGGGCCTATATCTATGCCAGATTTCCGGAGCAAATATTACATTCACAGTCTTTGAATTTGAGTAACATAGCGTAAAATCACGATTTCTTCGCATGTAAACAGCGTGAATCTCAATACACAAGTTTATCCCCGCATTTATATATACTTGTAAACAAGAAAACCTCCGAAATGACAGATCTACATACACGATGTCACTTTAAAGACATTAATTAAAAAAAACATCAATCTATTCTCGGGTAAATGCAGTTTCATTTGTATCAGACATAAAAGGCATAGTAAATGGTTCGTCGAAATTTAATGAGATTACCCTGTGACTACTTGTATTATATAAAGGCAGTGCAATAGTCACATATGCAGGAATAAAAAATCCAAATAAAATAGACAAGTTGATGAGGGGGGTTTTTAACGACCTTGACTACCCATGAGGTATATGTAGACAAGTTCCTAAAATGATAACGAATATATACCCCAAGTAATCATAAAACACGCTTCCTATTGGTTATCTATTTAATATTGATCGACAGAACTACCAATTATTGATAATTAACTCCAACCGTGACATTTCACTAATAAGGGGGTGATAAAATTCGGTAAATATCATCTGCTTTTGATGAGGGTCAGTACTTTATCTTTGGCTATTATATCTATGAAGGTATACACCAACGTGACAACTACCCAAGCGAAACAAAAACAAAGGACATCTATATTTGGTATACGTATTTTCTTTCTTTCGATAAAAATTATGTCAGTGCCGAGAGCACATAGTAGCTACTTATTTCCAAAGATCTATTTTGTCTTAATGCTTAGATATTGTCAGTAAGTTTGGAAAATTGGAATTTGAATCTTGTGTAACGACAAAAATAATAAAAAAAAAACATTTCTTAGAAAAATCGCGGAAGTTGCAAATGTATACGTGTTTCTTCTTCATGGGTGAATGTACATATGGACTTTCATTTTTTTATGTTGCTTTGAGCCTTACTGAAGAGACATTTATTGTTGAAACGCGCTTCAAATGCAAAAGAATTGGTACCGCTTACATTGCTTATGTTCAACATACATACCACTGGACATTAAGCAAACAACAACAACCAATAAGCCCGATGATCTTTAACCCAACCATATTTTAAACAAAACAAAACAAACCAATCCAGAAATTCAACCTTATCACTCGTAAATTACTTTGCGCAGTATAATCGCCCTCGTAAATGACACTTGGATTATCAGAACATTAAAAACAGTGACGCTTTAAGATGTAATATCAAAATTAGTAGATATTGTATGATTGTCAATCAGACAAATATCCATCAGAGTCCAAATGACGAGGATGTAAGCAGCTATAGGTTACCGTACAAACAACAGCAATGAGCAAAAGCCATACCGTATAGTCAACTATAAATGACACTACAAAATGTGAAACAGTTTAAAAAAAGAAAACCAACGACATGATTCACAATAATATAATAAACTAAAACAAATATTACACCCTTTCTGAACTAATCCATTGAACAATAACATTATTTGTTTTGGCATGTAAGTTTTTTTTATTATACATTATTTCAAAATGTGTACAAAACTTTAAAATTTGATTCTCCTGCTCATCCATTAATTCTTTTTTTCATAATAGCTTTTTTTTTCAAGTCCGACTTTGACATAACATATACTTTGATTTGATGTTTTTCTCAGTCCTCTTCTGTTTTAATCTTTGATTTTTCACTCTTTTCTCCTTTTAAATTTCAGATTGTCATATTATTTCGTTGTTCTTATAATAATGTATTACAATATAACTTTCAGCCGACTGGTTCAATACCGAGTCTCAAATTAATTTGCGAAAAAGGGAGAAAGTGGAAACTAGAAAATTAAAATGTTTCAAATGTGAAGTTCTTTTATAGATAAAACCTAGGTTCCATCTACCATTAATGTAAAAGCAAAAGGGTTTTAATATTTGTAAGAATTAGCTGCTTAATTCTTTTTTTTCTGTCTATTCGTCACAAAAATTTTCAACTTTCAAGAAGTACTATGAATATCGTTCGTGTCGAGCTAATAAACTAAAAAGCTATTCCCTGAAAAGGATTATTTGACATCAACAACAAAAATTGACATCAACAACAAAAAACGCTAGGAATTGACTTTGCAGTCAGTGAAATATTTAATACATGTCACCAACCCGTCGGGTTACAAATGTGCATTAATGAATAAATACCGGAATTAATTTGTGAATTGAACATTTATATACATGTATAACAGGGTATTGGTTTCGATGGGTAAAACAGATCCAATCTGCTCTTTACGATTCCAAAGTCATTGTATTAAAATCCGGGAAATCGGAACAATCTGTGACAAAAACTTGCTGCACACGATAGCAAATACAATTGTTTTGTAAGTCGTTCGGTAACACAGCTTTTATTGTACAGTATATGGTGTAGAAATAACCAGTTATAAGGTTGTAGGGCCTATATCTATGCCAGATTTCCGGAGCAAATATTACATTCACAGTCTTTGAATTTGAGTAACATAGCGTAAAATCACGATTTCTTCGCATGTAAACAGCGTGAATCTCAATACACAAGTTTATCCCCGCATTTATATATACTTGTAAACAAGAAAACCTCCGAAATGACAGATCTACATACACGATGTCACTTTAAAGACATTAATTAAAAAAAACATCAATCTATTCTCGGGTAAATGCAGTTTCATTTGTATCAGACATAAAAGGCATAGTAAATGATTCGTCGAAATTTAATGAGATTACCCTGTGACTACTTGTATTATATAAAGGCAGTGCAATAGTCACATATGCAGGAATAAAAAATCCAAATAAAATAGACAAGTTGATGAGGGGGGTTTTTAACGACCTTGACTACCCATGAGGTATATGTAGACAAGTTCCTAAAATGATAACGAATATATACCCCAAGTAATCATAAAACACGCTTCCTATTGGTTATCTATTTAATATTGATCGACAGAACTACCAATTATTGATAATTAACTCCAACCGTGACATTTCACTAATAAGGGGGTGATAAAATTCGGTAAATATCATCTGCTTTTGATGAGGGTCAGTACTTTATCTTTGGCTATTATATCTATGAAGGTATACACCAACGTGACAACTACCCAAGCGAAACAAAAACAAAGGACATCTATATTTGGTATACGTATTTTCTTTTTTGTCGATTATTATCTCGTTGCTTTGATTTTGTTTGTTTATAATCTGATAAAAATATATGAAAAGAGATGGATTATAGAACACGAATCAACTTCATATCAACTTCGGAATTCAAAGAACGAAATACGAGTGAAATCAAATCAAAGCATCAATACATTCGTAAAGCCATGCAAAAACATGTACTAAATATAGGAAGACATAATACCTAAGTTGTTGGAGATACGAAATCCTACAAAGAAGTGGTATTATTAACATACTTAAAATTTACCGGTCCAACAATTTTTGAAGATTGGATTTCCTTACTGTTTGGCTATGTCTAAGCTTATGATAATTTATCTTGCTTTGTCTCACAGGTTTGAAAAAGTATCAAGGTAATGTTCAAAACATTGCTGTTAGATCTTATTTTGCTTTTTTAACATACATCTACCTAAACTGTTAGTTTTTGGTTTGGCTAAACATCAAGGTTCCAAAGATTTCACTAACAATTAAGATAACCAAGTCTTTCGAAGTTGATTCGCTAACTGTGCGTAAGCGTATTCTGAGTGTGTTATGTACCAAGTTTTGTAATTCAGTAATACAGATAAAATGAATTTAAAAGGTGTCTATTTGTATGTTCATGTACAACAGATCGATAAAAATTATGTCAGTGCCGAGAGCACATAGTAGCTACTTATTTCCAAAGATCTATTTTGTCTTAATGCTTAGATATTGTCAGTAAGTTTGGAAAATTGGAATTTGAATCTTGTGTAACGACAAAAATAATAAAAAAAAAACATTTCTTAGAAAAATCGCGGAAGTTGCAAATGTATACGTGTTTCTTCTTCATGGGTGAATGTACATATGGACTTTCATTTTTTTATGTTGCTTTGAGCCTTACTGAAGAGACATTTATTGTTGAAACGCGCTTCAAATGCAAAAGAATTGGTACCGCTTACATTGCTTATGTTCAACATACATACCACTGGACATTAAGCAAACAACAACAACCAATAAGCCCGATGATCTTTAACCCAACCATATTTTAAACAAAACAAAACAAACCAATCCAGAAATTCAACCTTATCACTCGTAAATTACTTTGCGCAGTATAATCGCCCTCGTAAATGACACTTGGATTATCAGAACATTAAAAACAGTGACGCTTTAAGATGTAATATCAAAATTAGTAGATATTGTATGATTGTCAATCAGACAAATATCCATCAGAGTCCAAATGACGAGGATGTAAGCAGCTATAGGTTACCGTACAAACAACAGCAATGAGCAAAAGCCATACCGTATAGTCAACTATAAATGACACTACAAAATGTGAAACAGTTTAAAAAAAGAAAACCAACGACATGATTCACAATAATATAATAAACTAAAACAAATATTACACCCTTTCTGAACTAATCCATTGAACAATAACATTATTTGTTTTGGCATGTAAGTTTTTTTTATTATACATTATTTCAAAATGTGTACAAAACTTTAAAATTTGATTCTCCTGCTCATCCATTAATTCTTTTTTTCATAATAGCTTTTTTTTTCAAGTCCGACTTTGACATAACATATACTTTGATTTGATGTTTTTCTCAGTCCTCTTCTGTTTTAATCTTTGATTTTTCACTCTTTTCTCCTTTTAAATTTCAGATTGTCATATTATTTCGTTGTTCTTTTAAGGTATTGACTATTAATTATCTTCATAATTTATTCAGTGAATTTGCTAAATAAAGCATTGTGTTCTGTGTTCTTGTGAATGAATTCTCCACACGTTTACTCGACATTACTTTTAAACATGACATTCTTTCTGTCTTTTATTTTGTGTGTGTGTGTGTGTGTCAAACTGTTGATATTACATTGACGTCTCCTTATTTCCTTTTATTCACACTCATTTATCTATAATAAATAACTTTTAAAAAACTTTGAAAGTGACTTTATTATCTGTTGTGTCATTCATATATAATTTTGTTCTACATTCTAGTTCAGTACAATTTGTTGTAAAGAAAAGAATAAAAAATTCTTGTTTGAAAAGAATTTTGAAATTTGCAGACAAGAAAAAAAATTAGCGCATCTTTACCTTTTTTTTAATATCAATCAAGGAGTATGAGGAACAATAACATGCACTAATTTATAAAAATCAAATTTGCGAAATTTAAAAAGGCCTTCCTCTCAATGACCTATGTAATAAACATTTTTAAAATGTGATGTAAGAAATAATCGCGGTATCAAGCATAAAGAAAGCTATTGTTTCTTTGTTCTTGTCATGGCGAAAAAGATGCAATTTTATTTATAAGCATATAAATCTATATAGCAAATTTCTGATATGATTGACCAAAACACTCTTCAAATAAAAAACATCTTGCACTTTGTTAAAATCTTATGGAAGCGTAAAACGTTCTAAATGATTTTTTTTTCTTCTCTTATTAATAGAAAACGAAAAATCGAAATTCTTAATAAGAGTATTTTTGAAAATTTATTGTCATTACATAATTTGAAAGTTCATTGATTTATAAGCAAAATAATCGTTCTATATGTTAGGATACAGTATACTGGATATGACACACAATACTTAAATAATATCTAATTAACAGAACTAATTAATAAATAAACACTTTATCACACATACCAACTCAATTTAAGAACTTATGTAGGATCAAATAGTGTTATCTTGCTGTCTAGAATTAAGGATGTTCGCTTTTTTGTTTCAAAATAACAAGCTTTTTAAAAGACTGTTATAAACTGATAATACATTAATAACAGAAATCAGCAGAAAAAATGCAAGGTCATAATCCTCGTTTTTTGAGATACAAGCCATTGATAATTTGGCGGGAAAAGATTCTCTCTAATTTTTTCCTACATTTAACATTGGCAACGTTTTTCTTTCAAAAACTATGAAAAAATAACAAGGATTTTATGTTATAAAATTATGAAAAGAAAAGAAAGGGTTACCAGGCAATTTTTTTCTTGGTAGCACATGGGTAAAACTAGAGGATTCAGAATATCTGACAAAAAGTTAAAAACATGAGATTCAAACATCCTTAAGCCTATTCTAACTCAACAACAAGCTTTGTGTAAACTTCATAACACAACTAAAGCTAATGTAACATACACACCATTAGTTGCACACTGCATTTATGTTTAAAAGACATTGATGTTTAATCAAATTTATCATCAAAATCAATTATTTAAAGTAACGTAAACTTCTTTTGTAACTATGTCCGTTTCAGGGTCGGTCAAAGTTTGGGCATCCAAGGATGTATAAAAACATTATTGACTTAAAATAATCAAAATGTTTGTAATAAAACATTTTCAATGTTAGAACATAGACAACGTAGTAGAATTAAATTCTGAGACTAATTCTGAGACTGAAAGTCCTCTACATGTGGTTTCTTTGCACATTACTAAGCCAATTAATTCACAAATAAATTTCTACACTAAATGTAAAATCAAAAAATCAAGGTAAGTATCAGAGTAACGTATTAATTTCATGCTTATGGTTTCAATTGTAACACTATATATACAATTAATAACCTATTGTAAACAAATGTTAAGAGATGATAATACCGAAATAAAATTTAATTTGAGAAACTACAGCATAACAGTTCATAGCTTTCCGTGCCCGAAAACCAAGAACACCAGAAATGTGTTACTTAATTAATTCCCAAATATATTATTCATAAATATCAATGTAAATCCTTGAAAACATAAAAGGTTACAATTTTGTTAACACAACAAACACGAGGTATTTGAAACAAAATAACAATGAAAGACAGATTTGAAATAAATATAAAATAAAAACAAATATAAACATTATAACAAACAGGTAAACAACTGTACAAATACAAAGATATTATTACATTACATGTTAATACAAATTTGTATACAATTTATTTGTGGATCGGAAAACTACGGGATAGACTGCTTTGTTTTTCTTTTTACAATTCAATATAAGTCTGTTAGTATTGCAGTAATAGATTTATTTTGCAATACATGTGAACTTCTGTGAAAAAAAACTCATCATAGATACCAGGATTGAAATTTGTATTTACGCCAGACGCGCGTTTCGTCTACAAAAATCTCATCACTGACGCTAGAAACTAAAAAAGTTAAAAAGGCCAAATAAAATTCGAAGTTCTTCGAAGAGCATTGAGGACCAAACATTCCTAAAAGTTTTGCCAAATACAGCTAAGGTAATCTATTCCTGAGGTAGAAAAGCCTTAGTATTTCAAAAATTCAAAGTTTTGTAAACAGCTAATTTATAATTATGACCATATCAATGATAATTCATGTCAACACAGAAGTGCTGACTACTTGGCTGGTGATACCCTCGAATTAAAACTATTATCTGTATTTGCTACTTCTAATTTATATTTATTTATATTCTTTGTTAACATAAAGCTGCTATTCGTTTAGTTTCGTTTGGACTTATGAATAAAATGTTGTCTTACTATTTTGAATTTATGGTTTCATAAGAATGAACCACTGTCAATTTCTCTTCGTCTTAATAAAGAGACTCACTCAAGATAAGTATCATCGCCTTTATAGACGTAAAAAAAAACAATAAAAAAATCAGACCAATATTTATGATCGCTAAGTGTTTTATCAAACAGATGTTTCAAATCCTAGCATTTTTGACTGAGGAATAATGTCTTGTCGAACAATTGGTTGTTCAAGGAAAGATGGACCTGTTCGAGCTCGCTCTGCAGACTTGGATCGCTGTCTCTTTTTAGATTTGTCTTTCTTGTCTTCCCGTGCCCTTTTTGTTTTCGTGATTTCATCGGCAATCTGAAATATAACTTAATCAATCAAATATGAGCGCAACTTTTCAACCAGCTACAATCTACATGAAATATTACCATGCATGCCATTCAAAATTTAAATATATTATTTCTCAAAAATGTACCATACCAAAAGAAATGAAAATCATGAAATTTTGTTCCATACAGTGTTTGCCTTCGTTCATACATCATAACACCATACACCTTTACACCATACACGTTTTATTGGAAAGTTTACACCATTCAAAGACTGTACCATAAAACAGTTATGTAATTCTCTATAGAATATCTGGTTTTATTATCATTAATGGAAAAAAAAGAGAAAACTAATATATTCCCCAAGAATAACGGACAATGACTATATGATGTTATCGAGTGATTGTTTGTCCGTCGTATGATGCCATGTCAACACAAGTGGACTATTTTGCAGCGATAGCTAGTTTTCCAGAATAGCACTATAATGTCAGTTACTATTACCACATTTTTTTTTTACAAACGCCTACTTATAGCGACTTCTAGATTGTCTTTTTTCAACTAATTTACGAAATTCATGTTGGTCTGTATTTTATATCAGTTTTACATTTGATAAAAAATATACTTATTTTACTTACCACAGGTAATACCTTCCTCTGCATGGCGGAAATCGGTGGAGTTGGCGGTGGAATGAGTATTGATTTCGGAGGTAAGCCTGAGAGTGGAGGTTCGAATGTGTTTTTCATTTCTTGAATAGAACCTGTTTTAGAAATGGAAGATGTTGCAGAGGTACTACTAGAATTATTGGATACATTGGTTCTAACTGAGTGCAGTTCTTTCTCTGATAATGACGAGGAACGTTTAATATTCGTCTTAAATTTGCGTTTTACAGCTGCAAATATGTCCGATGGTGTAAGTGCGGAAGGTGCTGCTGGTGACATGACTGACACTCCAGCTTTTGCTAGTGTCTTCCTTACTGATGAACTGTCTAAACTTATAGACCTTGTTGCTGCTTTCCTTTTCTTTTTATCACTTTTGGATTCCTTGACCGGAGAAAGTATATCATCCCCTTCTTGGAGCTGCACTTTATCGTCTATTTCAGATGACAAATTTACATATACGTCCACATTTTCGTTTGAAGTATTTTCAGACATAGTTTCGTCTTTTTGTATTCCAATATTACCAACAATAGCTTCCCTTTCTCGTTTTGAAACACTGTCATGGCTCCGACTGCGACCGGGCCATGGGCGATGAACACTAGATTCTGAAGGATTATCAGCAAAAAATTGTCGTCTTGCAGTTCTAGGCGTTACGATTTCTGCACTTGCAGATAAAGCGTTTTTTGATGGTACTATATGAGTAACCGGAATCGGTGTTAACACTTGCTGAAAACTGCAATGCGTCGTCGTCTCTAGTGAAACAGGAGAATGTGATGAACTAGACTGAGCACTATCCTGAGGAGACATTTTTGTTGCTTTCAAAAGACACGTGTCAATAGAAATACTTTTTGGAATTTGTCTTACAGTCGTTGTTTTGTTTGTTTCTTTAGAGTATCTTGTGACCGTTTGTGATGACGAAAGTGTTGAATTAATACAACGCGGAAGTAAAAAGCTAGGTGGAGGATCAGGGAACTTTGTCGTTAGTCCCTGTTCCTTGTGTACTGTTGACATGATGTTGTGTCTTCTGTCGGCCATTGAACCCATTTGGATTCCAGGGAGGATTTCTTCTGTTTCTTCTTTCACGTTCGAACCACTGATGCTCCTTTGAAACTTTATTGGACTGTCTGGTGTAATAGGTCCATACTTTTGCTTCAAGAATTCAAGCTCTTTACTTCCTAATGTTTCAGTAACAAAATCCTCTTTCAGTGAGTCGAGTTCAGAACTCGACAAACTCCTGCAATATACATATACTTTGAAAATATTTTAGAAACCTTCTTTGATTTAATTAATTTGAACAACATAACATAGCACATGCAACTATGCCAGTAAGAGATATAACCAATCTAAATAAACTTCTTGAGGAATATATATATATAGTATGTGATTTAAAAATAAAATTATACATTTTGGAATCATTGTTCAATTTAATTTGTACTTGCCAAAAATATGCCGTTTTCTTTATTTTGTTTTACTATAGAATCAACTCAATGGAAGAAGACATACCTGTCACAATAAAATCAAAGCAACTGATGTCATCCATGGTAAAACATGGGGTTTGTGTTAATCGGTAGTTAGTTTTCAGTGATTTTTTATATTTATGACGTCCAATGTACATCTTTGATATGAAAAAAGGAGATGCAAGGTGGACGCCAATGAGACAGTATCCCATCTTAAACAATAGACAGATGTCTACACAATATGTCAATAGGTAAAGCATCCACGGTTTATAAAAGATGTAAATCAATGATGTGAATAAAACAAGATCTACCATCAATACCAAATACTAGTACCAGGGTTCACCACAGAATGAAAATCAAAGGTTGGAGAGTGATGTTAACAATTCACAGAGGATGTGTCGCGTTCGTTCGCATCCCTCCTTGGACGTACATTTGGCTTTAGAAAGAAAAAATACTTTTAATACATTTGTTTTATCAAATTACTAAATATATAGATATCAAGGATTATAAAACGACATCACATGACAAAATAAGCAAACCATTAAGATATGAATCGTTGTATCTTGTGTTGAAATTAAAATGCAAAAGCATTTGTTAAAAAGCTTTGATAAAACCATTAAGTTTAAATCCAAATGTAACTGCAGCTATCCTAAACTTTACAAATGGTTAGCTCACGTTTGACTGTTTTCCCTATTTTGTGTCAATAATACAATAGTTTAATTCATTACAAATGCTATATATAACTTGCATTACATTTCTCATGTTCAATTACAAATTATTGTTATGACAATTGTCTATAAAATGATATAGCCAAAAAAAAAACAGAATCGAAATCAAACATACGCTTATAAAATATATAAGCTAGTAAAAAACAGAAACAAAGATACTCTTTTTATACCAATTATGGAGGTTATTGAAAGAAATACTAAAATCACTGGACGGAAAGTAAACTCTTGATATTGACACGAAGATGTTGCCGACGCAATCCCTGCTCCAGCAGAACGAAGGACGGGACAAACCAACACAGTTTTATGGTCACCATCATCATTTGCTTAACCGATACATGCGTTTATGTCGCAATTTACAATAGTCGTTTTCGCCGTCTTAGCAGAAAGGCGTAATATACAAAAGGGAAACCCAAACTAATTGTCAAAAACAAACTGACAAGATTTGAAAACAAACTGAATTGAGATTTTTAAATACCGGAGTGGTCGTCCGACCTGTACATGTACCGATTGTGTCCGTTTCTCTATTGTGAATTGTTGACTAAGCGTGCAGTCGCAGGACTTATGATAAATGCATAGCAGAAGACAATAGAAATTATCGACACACCTGGTAACGATATTCAGATGCAGATTTTGAAACAACTTTTCTGTAGAATTATGCAATTCAAGATTAAAACATCGATTGCAAAAGATTAAAACGAGAATACGTTCAGTTCTTTAAACATGAAAAAAAAGTTTTTAATTTGTAATTAGCATTCCGACAAAAATATTTGCAAATGCATGATGATCAGCACACAATAAATAGCAGCAGATAATTATATATTCTAAACATTTGTAAATTAGCAATTTTAATGGAACTAAACGCTAGTTAATGTGATAAAAAGCAAACTAACATTCAACTACATGACCATCAGTTATCACAAAGCAGTACACGTTACTGATATACTAAACTACTCGTCTTAGATAAGAACGTTTAAGCCATTGTTAGTCAATAAGAGAACCAAATATCACTGCAAATAATATGGCAGTAAAGAATAAAAAAGGAAAGATAAAGAGAAAGCCAGCATTCCTCGAACACGCGCATTTCCGCACGCAACTATTGGCTAATTGAAAACCATTTTTAACTAGTGCAGCACATTCTGTAGGATATTTTGGTATAGTGTATATATGTGCGTTTATTATCTTGATACAACATTACAAGAGTTGTATTTTCTCACAGATTTACAAACCTTATGTTGCGTTCGTGGTTTTCGCAATTCTTTGAAGAACTGAAAATTGTGTACGCATTATATAAAATGATTGGAAACTAATATGTTTCTATTATTTGATTGTACAGTATGATAGAAAAATTATTATTTGTATGTCTTTTACTGGGTCTCACTAATTAGCGACAAGAAGCGTCAAGAAGCGTCAAGAAGCGACAAGAAGCGATAAGAAGAATAATTTTAGCGACAAGAAAACACTTTTTTTTTTTATTAAGATTACTTATTCCAAATAAATATAAAAAAATATGCATTTGATGTTTTTCTCTTGTTTGATTTCAGTTCTTTGTATTTCACAATTTGTCTGTATTTTCTGGACAATGATGCACAAATAATGCATTTTGCAAGTTTATTATATAGTGTACAAGGAGAATTTTAAAAACAAATTATAAGATAAATATATTATTGTTCTAAAACACAAGTAAAATTAATATCATAATACGACAGGGTAAACGTAATACTTGCTGTTAAACATAATAAATAATAAAATATCACAAATAAATGTAGCAATTAGTTCTATGTTTCAATTTTTTCTATCTATTATTGATAGAATATTAACTTTCTTGTCGCTAAAATTGTTTTCTTTTGCATATTCTTTTAATATTTATTTAGAATAAGTAATTTTAATTAAAAAAAAAATGTTTTCTTGTCGCTAAATAGTCTTCTTGTCGCTTCTTGTCGCTTCTTGACGCTTCTTGTCGCTTCTTGACGTTTCTTGTCGCTAAAATTCTTCTTGTCGCTAATTAGTGAGACCGTCTTTTACTTTCTTCGTGGAATGGAGAGGCATTTGGTGACAAAAAGTACAAGTGTCAACCTTTCATTGCAAAATATCTCAAGACAAAGACAATTAGAATATTGACATCAAACGCAGGTTCATTATTATAGTCTATATTGCAGAGAATTAACAAAGGAAACTAATTTTATAATCTGTCATTTCATAATTGTTTTCGTAACTTTTAAGTTTTATGTTTTATCTTAATCTGGTGCTATTTTTGGGTGTTCAGCGTTCTTCATAAATCACAACACATATTGGAAATACATCAATAAGCTGGCAATATAAACACAATACAGTATGTCATTCTTTTGGCTGACGACTTTTACTCTGTATCTAGATTATTTACATGATTTAAATCCATCTAAACACAAAATGGTTTTTAATTTACGAAACAGAATATTGTTAGGAACATTTCAATATGGACGTGACTGTACCTTTTTAGTTTTAGAAATATATGACTGAGGCACAGATTATTATCAATACAAAATGTATATTAATCTTAACTAGATTCTATGGGAATATACACATGTTTTTCTAAAGATTATTGATGTGTAAACTCATCGCTTAATTCACAAACTGAAGAGTCAGCGGCAAGTTTACAAACCAAGAACCTTCAGAAAAAAATCGTATAATCCTGATAATTCTAAATCCAAACATTTTTTTTTTATTCCAATTTTTTAACTCTCTTAAAACCCTAGGATAACATTCATGTGTATCTCGCATGAATATATAACAAAGAAATCGACATAGTGTTTTCATAGGTTATGAAAGTTATTTCGGCAACATATCCTTTCGAAGTGAAACCCAAGAAAAATAATCTAACGGAACAATCACATTCAAGTATTCACAGATATGCAAATCAAATCAGAATTATCAGTAAATAATATACCTTCTCATTTGTTTACGTTCCTCGTCAGATATATCTCTGGGCCGAGCAATGTTTTCAGCTGCAAAGTGTATTTCTTTCAACGCCTGAAAGTTAAAATAAAAATATCTTTATGATTGTATATCTTTTTCCCTTTCTCAGTATTCTATTTTATTTCCTACACGTCTACATTGAAAAGTACAAAATATCATAAAACCAAATGTTTGAATAGAATAACGCCGTTTATTTCTGCTTTTTATTTTTAAATTACCGAAAAAGCTTTAAGAAAAACCAAAGATTCATATCGAAACGGGAGGACAAAGACAACTATCGTGTTTTTAACAGACAATCGCCATTCAAATGGGAAAAGTTGTGCCCCTCTGTTACCAACAATTAAAAAATCTAAATGACAAATGATTTTAGATTCAAAATACACTCATCTATCCTCTATTTTGAAATAAAGTAATTTCACACAAGAGAAAACATGTCTATTTACAGTTGTTGCTTGTTTAATTGGGATTCTACACTCCTGATTTAATATTGTTGTAAATCAACGGTGTTCAGTTTTATACGTTGAGGAAATTGAAGTAGCAAGTTTACACTCTATGGTAATATGTTGCAATATAACACCTAAGAAGGGTGCGGGGGTTGCTCATTTCCCATATTTTTTGTAATTTTTCCCACTTCCTTCTTATCCCCTAGATCACGCTTGTTATCCCTATATATCCAACATTACCACTTTTTACCCCTATATCCCACCTCCTCACTATGTTCACCCCCTATATCCCACATCCATGGCTAGATGAGTGTCACCCCCTCAATTAAACCAAGAGTACATTTTGCAGATAATGACATACCTCTTTGATGTAGTTTAACACAACCTACAAATTAAAACAAAAATATCGTATTAGGAGATACATGGTGTAACGAAGTGAAGGTAACAATCGGGAGATATGTCATTGTCAGAATGTGCTGTGTATCAAAAATCAACTGAGCGCCCACAAACATGTTTAACCCCGCTACATTCTTTATGCGCCTGTCCCAAGTCAGGAGCATGTAGTTCAGTGGTTGTCGTTGGCTCATGTCTGTCATATTTGTTTTTCGTAAATTATTTTGTTATAAATTAGGCCGTTACTTTTCTCAATTGAATTGTTCTATATTTTTCTTGTCGGGGCCTTTTATAGCCAACTATACGGTATGGGTTTTTTCTCTTTGTTGATGGCCATACGGTTGACTATATTTGCTTACATCCATTTCATTTGAACTTTGGTGGATAGTTTCTAATTGGCAATCATACCACATCTCCTTATTTTGATATTGAACGAAGTTGAAGTCACCTCTTAGAGAGTTTTAGGGTTATCATAATTACTTGGTTGACTGTGAGGGAATTGGATGTGTAAAAAAGATTACGGATATGTTCAATTTACGTATTATCACGAGATTTGCTTACCACATTTGACTCAAAACTGGCTTTGTGCTTAACACAAACACAACGCAACGTAATCAACAAGTCAGAAAGAACATGCCTACCATTTCATCGTACATGAATTATATATGATCTATTGGGAGCTTTGTGTTGCTGATTCTCTTGTTACGTCAATGAATGGCATAACGTGTCCTTCATGAATTTATATTTTTACCCCAAAAATTTAGGCTCATTGTTTCTCAAAAACTAGAGGCAACAGCACCGATTGGAAGAAGGTAAAAAAAATTTATAACACATATTTACATTTAACATCATTTGTATTTTTAATAGCAAAGTAGCGAGTTAATTTGATAAAATCTTTCGAAAGGGAGTTATTGGAGAATATGAAAGCGAAAGTAGACGGACAAATAGATAGAGCACTCGTCAAACATCATCTGAAATAAAATAAAAGGAAAGTAAAGCACTACAACTGAATCTTGTGGTATTTGTTACCATGAAAATTTGAAGAGTTGACCTTTCAACTCTAATTTATTAAATGTCATGTGACTTACATCATTTATACGTTGTCTAATGTCTTCTGTATGAATTGCTGTCTCCTCAGAGGCAGCAGCTCCCATGTCTCCTTTTGTCTCCAGTGTCTCAAGTCTATGTTCTAGTTCATTGTCAGATATTTCACCATTATTCTCTGATGCCACCACAATTGATGCCAGTTCACGAAGTCTTGTCAGCTGTAGAAAAGAAGTCCGAAAGAAGGATTGATAAAAATATATTTCTGATGAATACTTCTTTTGTATTAATTTAAACACTGGTGTCAGAGATATGAAAACAAGACAAAACAGCACATAAGTTTGCCTAGGCATTGCTTTATATATTTCTTTCATTCGAAATACAATATGCTTTACAATGCTTAAAGCATATTTCAATGCCAATCAAACGTAATGAGTATTTTTGTAGTTTAGTCAACACGGAAGTTTACAATAATTTCAACTTACACTACATCTATAATTTCAATATTTTGTGTTGAAGAATCATAAGTGACATGTGTACGTATACAATATCCACAATCCAGTCTTACCAGAGAGAAGTTCTTTCAATTGATAATAAGACTTTAGTGTTAATAAAGAATAAACTACACATTCACGTACATGTTTTTCCAAAAATTTGTTGTTTTTTTTTGGGGGGGGAACGCCTGATAGTCAGCAAATTGTGTATTTTTTTATTTACTACCGATGGGTCAATAAAACTGCTGGTAGAATGTTATTCTCCAATGGTTGTATCCTCCCGTTAGTGAGTGCTTTGGCAATTCCATGATATAACATGGCGGGTACCAAATTTGGAGCATGAACTGTTATCCTTCTGGAGCGCCTGAGTTCATCCCCGATCTTTGATGCGGTTCGTGTTGTCCAATTGTTAGTTGTCTTATGAGTGTTTTGTAATTGTTTGTCATTTCGTCTTTTTTATTTTTGGCCATGGTGTCTATAACTTATGATTTTTCGATTGTGCTTTTGCTATATATTTGGAGTTTAGTATGACGTCCATTATCACTGAACTAGTATACATATTTGTTTAGGGGCCAGCTGAAGGACGCCTCCGGGTGCGGGAGTTTTTCGCTGCATTGAAGACCCATTGGTGGCCTTCGGCTGTTGTCTGCTCTATGGTCGGGTTGTTGTCTCTTTGACACATTCCCCATTTTCATTCTCAATTTTATCTGTTCGGTTCATGAATTGTCTGATACCAAATCTACATTTTAAAATAATTTTCTAACTCAGTGCAATATGTTTACTTTGGTCTTATATATTACCTCACCGAGAATTTGTTTATGTTATAAAAACATCTTTCATTTTCAGATAAAGGTTTTTTTTTTTTAAAAAAGGCTTCGAAGCAAACATTGAAGTTAGTAGTATTTCGCCTTGATTAAGACAGAAATCTATTATACCATTAACCTCCCTATATTGGGAATTTATTTTTTATAATATATAAATATATGTACCCCGCTCAACACATCTTCCATCATTCTCTGGTCATGTTTATGTTGCCTCCTCATCTCCCCAAGACGTCGAACTAAGTCAGCTTGATCTTTAAGTGAAGATTCGTGTTCTTTTTCCGCTTTTTCTTTTACTTCTTTTAACCTCCGTTTCAAATCTAACAACTGTTCATCTCTTGTCCCTGACTGTAATATAAATTAAATTTTAGAATACTTTTTTATATGTTCCTCAAGAACGAACGCGATTTTAAAAAGTTCTCCACTCTTTAGCAGTTATAGTATGTTTTTTTCTGTCTTTTCAATGGTAAAACAGTAACATAAAAGATGGTCTGAGATCAGCTTGATTATCAAGTTTCATGTATACCAATATACGTATGTATTATCAATTTTACGAAAATTTCAACAACGTTTTTTTGACTATTTAGCATACAAAGGAGAACATTGAAGTCGAAAAAGTAGGTTAAAAAGAACTTATACGTCACTAGGTAAGACAACATTAATATTTTCGAATATCAAGTTAATGTGTTCACCTATTTCAAAAAAGAAGGAAAGAAACCAATGCGACATTCAAAACTGACTAATTGAAGAAAAAGCAGACAACGCCATGGTCAAAAAAACGAAAGACGACCAAAAGTTGACAAGTCCACTAAACACTTAATAGAAAACTAAAGAATGAACAACAACAACCCCACTAAAACAGGGGGTGAACTCAGGTGCTCCAAAAGGATTAAGCGTAGATAGTTACCTTTGACTGCTGTTCTCGGCGGTTTATTTGCTCTTCGTCAAGTTGTTTCCGAAGAACCTTAAGTTGTTCTAATAGAGCTCGTTTTTCGTGCAGACGTTCGTCGTCTCTACCCTTGAGCTGCTGTTGTAGATCCATAGCTAGATTATGTGCTTCAGATAAAAGACGTTTTTGTTCGGCCCTTTCTCTGTTCCATGCCACCTCCATTCTAGACTGCATGTCCTTTGTTCTTGATTGAGCGTTGTTTATCATCGCTAGTCTTTCCTCAAGCTGTAAACACAACAACTCATTTATACTTTGTCATAAGAATGTGTTTAAATTAATGACAATGTCTTAAAGGTGAAGGCGCAGAAATTGCCTAATTTTGGCGCCAAATATTACGTCACGTGTTTAAAAATGAAGAATGTTTGCGTTAAAAAAAAGTTGACACATTTCATCTCTAATAGGCAGGCCACAAAAAGTGGTTTGGTAAACGATTTCTCTACCATTAAGGCGAATGAAACAAAGCGCGCAATGTTCGACAAACTAAATAGTAAAGTCAAGATATGTTTTTAGATTAGACAAACATAACGTTAAAATGTCTTTTTTTTGTCGGTGAATTCGATACATGTTTCCGGTCCATAAAATCTTGAGTTTGACTGTCCATCTGGTATCTTTCGTCCCACTTTTTGAAGCCGAATATTTGTTTCTTTAAAATTGGCGGAAAATAGAAAATTTTACCGATTTTGACGTCATAAAAAAGTACCCATAAGTAACTTAAGAAAAACCAGTTTAATCATTTTTTGTAGATACATGGTGATAATAGCCGTCAAATACAAATTTGAAATTTGAGTATCTACTGCGCACAATTAATAATTACAAAAATTCATAGTTGCAATTTCATTTTCTACACGCATTCACGCTGAAAAAATTGGAACTGACATGGAGCGAATTTGAGCTTGCCAAATTTAATGGACACATGTCTATTGTTAACGACTGTATGTTGACATCTCGTATAGGTATATTTGACTAGTAGTATGTATTCTGTTTACTGTTGCCGACTGTTTGTTTATTTAGGTGGGGTTGCTGTCTCATTGACGTATGACCAACATCTCGTTTTTATATATAATTTGTTCTTCTCTTGTATTAGATCATAATAATAATTGAACATTCAAAAGCCATTAGTTAAAACTACTGTTGCTAATTTTGCGCTGAAAACATTGGCAAAAGTTTTGATCGATATAGAGCTTGACATTTCTAGTGGACACCTGTCAATTGCTGACGACTCTAATTGTATTTGGTTATCTATGTTGGGTTGTGGTCTCATTGACATATACGCTACATCTCATTTCATATGTAGTCAGACCTCTGATATCATTGTTGATCGTTAAAGGGGAATTAAAGAATACTTAATGCAGCGAGAAAAAGGACAAAAGATTGTACATGAACTAGTTTTAGACTTTTGTTCATCACAATAAATATTCAATTACAACTACCAAAGGAAGCAAAATATTATCAATCTTTTATTAATTACAAGGACATTGTATAGGGATAAGCAATTTTGTTTTCTTTTTTAGTGATTCTAAGAATTATTAGTGAACTGCCATTATATTATCGTATTAGTTATAAGAACCTATCTAGCATGTCAACTGGAAGAAAAGTGAAAGTTCATACTTTATAGAAGGTATACTACGAAATGTAGATTCGAAATCCAAATCATTTTAATAATTAATTGATTGATTTTTGTATTGACGTTCAGTGGCAAATATTAAATGCAAACTCGGGACGAAAGAACATTAAAATTCTCCCTACAAGAGGCATAAAATTTCAAATCCAAATTATGACCGGACGTGTTTGCTTTTTTGTACATCCCGTATAATCAAACGGACGCAAAATCATACGAATGTGTTATTTTTATTGATGGGAGAAATCCAGTTGTCCATGTTTCTATACACAAGTCACTGTTATTAAGAGACTACGGTTCCTTCTTCCTCAGGAAAAGCTGAATTTAGGAGGATTTTGTCTGTTCTTTTAAGGTCCGTATTTGTCATATAGTTCCAAAACGATTTGACCAAATTATTAAAATATTCATACATCTTTGGCTTGTGAAGTTAGTACCGGAAAGCACTTCGGACAGACAAATTTATAAAGTGATCTCTTTATTTTAAATATGTAGCAAAAGAGAGGCGGTAGATACCAAAGAGATATTCAAACTCATAAGTCGAAGACAAACTGACAATACCATGGCAAATAACAAAATCAGTACTTAAAATTAAAAAAACAGCGATGCCTCATTGTGATTTTTTGTTTGGTTCACCATTGAAATGGTTATCATAGGTTATATAATGTAAACTCAAAAATATTGCGTGCATTCATCATTGCGATTGTTTGACAGTCGACACGCATGCAAGTTAAATTATTGTGATTTTTGGAAATGCTGCGTACAAATTATGATATCAAAATATCAAATGCGAGTTTTAATTTTTGGGACACCTATCGCGTCGCAATGATAAAACCTTTGCAAAAATTACTGAATTTACAGTGTACAATCTCGTAGACATCTTAGAACAATATTATTTTAGAGTATTCCAATTAAGTCAATTCAAAACAAATGAAAAAGTTTACTTACTTGATTTATTTTGCTTTGCTTATTAGATCTTTCTATTTCCCATGCAGATCTTTGTGCAGTGATTTTGTCAACAAGTTCAGCACGTTCATACTCTTGGTCTTCGAGCTGGCGTTTCAGAGACTCGACTTTCTTCTGTAATTCCATAGCAAGATCACGTGCTCCTTCAAGCTAGAAATAAAGAAGCACTAGTTTATACAAAAGTCTTGTAACTTGCCATCTAGTTTTCCTTTAATGTGCCAACAATATTGAAGGTTCATTGTTTTTGTAAGTTCCATTCCACATAACTAAATAAAAAAATGCGCGAAAAAGTTTCTAAGCAAAACAAAGATTTTAAAAACAAACAGTGCTGGTGGTTCATTTTTTTTCTAAGTTCCTTTCAATATTACTTAATGAAATTAGTGCGCGAGAAAGTTTCGAAAAAAACAAAACAAAGACTTTAAAAACACTTACTTATATTTTTGAGAATATAACTGTAAAGTGAATCACTGTTAAGGACGTTGCCACAATTGTCATGGGGATATATTGCGTGTTCTGATATATCATTTGAGGTCATAAAAACATTGAAAATTAATCATAACTTATCGGAAGTTGTCAGTTTTTCTGAACCAGTGATGAAATATAAAAGATTGATGAGGGCCATGATAATACAATACCCCATATATCTTACAATGTTCGTGTGATGCTTGATGTTGTAAAAATGATAACACACAACTTTCTCAAAACAACGGGGAAAACACAAAAGGCATCACTCGATTCATCGGTGTTTTTTTATTGATAGTAGTGTTCCACAGAGTAAAGAAATATTATTTTTATCATAATGCAATGATAGAAAATAAACTTAACAATGATAGAAAAAAAACTTAACAGTGATAGAAAAAAAAATGAACAGTGATAGAAAAAAAAACCTTGCAAATCCATAGGCAAATATATCATTGTTTCCTAAAATACATATCTATCGTTTCCCTAGTGTTTTGAATCACAAAAAAAAATAATTATCGTTTCCCTAGAGTTTTGAATCACAAAAAAAATATTTACTTTCTTACTCTTTAAAAAAAATGTTCTCATCTGGCAGCCAGAAAGAAGATATAGGGTATGTAATATACATATTTACATTATACAAATATTTTCGAAAGATAAGAAGTAAAAAATTGCATAAAGTATAATCTATAAAAAAAAAATATCAAAAGCGCGGATCGCAGAGCTTTTCTACTATTCCATCTCGAGTAATTTATACGGAAATCTGTATTGTACATGACAAGAATTATAAAATATTATTATTGCAAATGCATTTCATACCTTCGAAACGTGTTCCTCTGTCCTCCAAACAATAATTAAGAAGACACACTGATATATCATTATATGGCTGATAACAGATGGAAGACATTATGGCATAGATGTTTGAATGGCAAAGGCAGAAATAATAGAATTCAACACATTATTTAGTCTTGTATTTAACCTAGTTTTGTCTTACAGTATTTTTCATTATAGAAAGACTAAACATGCAACAGTCATTAACCAATATATCTGTCCAGAACAGATTATCGCTCTCAGTGTGCGTAAATTCAATTATGTTGGAATTAAGATTAAGACATTCTTATTTCGTATTTTTTGTTTTATCCTCCTTTACTATCTATTCTAAAAGAAACAACAACAGTTTGAAAGTGGAAAATTGTACGAAAACAATAGTTTCATCTTTTTGATCGGCTCAGTAAATTCCAATTGCTGAGCATAATTATATGTCAGGCATGTATTATGTGGAATGAAAAACTTTGAGACCAAAAATATCAATTTGAATTCATTACTTTCATAGAATTAAAGAATAGCAACTACTCTTCTTTATTCTTTGCAATAATTTGTAAATGAAGACTTTTTTTAACGAATCAAGCCAAGTGGATAATATGTCAGCTTAATTAAGGAAAGCAACCTGTTACTGTGATTGGAATGTGAACTCTATCTTATACCTAACCGAAAGGCTGAGAGCCGCGATCTGATTTATAATATACTACATCACATAAAGATTGCAACACATAACAATGGTATTGTCTATGGTTTGATCCTCTCGCACCCGATGTGACCAGGCTGTCATGAGAGAACCCGGTTGGTTCTATAACAATCGTATTGTCTATGGTTTGATCCTCTCGCACCCGATGTGACCAGGCTGTCATGAGAGAACCCGGTTGGTTCTATTACAATCGTATTGTCTATGGTTTGATCCTCTCGCACCCGATGTGACCAGGCTGTCATGAGAGAACCCGGTTGGTTCTATTACAATCGTATTGTCTATGGTTTGATCCTCTCGCACCCGATGTGACCAGGCTGTCATGAGAGAACCCGGTTGGTTCTATAACAATCGTATTGTCTATGGTTTGATCCTCTCGCACCCGATGTGACCAGGCTGTCATGAGAGAACCCGGTTGGTTCTATAACAATCGTATTATCTATGGTTTGATCCTCTCCCACCCGATATGACCAGGCTGTCATGAGAGAACCCGGTTGGTTCTATTACAATCGTATTGTCTATGGTTTGATCCTCTCGCACCCGATGTGACCAGGCTGTCATGAGAGAACCCGGTTGGTTCTATAACAATCGTATTGTCTATGGTTTGATCCTCTCGCACCCGATGTGACCAGGCTGTCATGAGAGAACCCGGTTGGTTCTATAACAATCGTATTGTCTATGGTTTGATCCTCTCCCACCCGATATGACAGGCTGTCATGAGAGAACCCGGCTGGTTCTATAACAATATATTGCTATACAGATTTACAGTGAAACAACATAACTGGAGCTCTAGTAAGGTACCCCCTTCGGTCACAAGTTTGCTTTTAAATATTGCCTTAGGTCACCGTGTCACCTCTAAACATTTTTACGATTTATTGAGTTAAGCCATTCGAACTGATATTTACAGTTTGTTCTTATGTTCACCACTGTCCCAGGTAAGGGGAGGGTTGAGCGCTCACAAACAGGTTAAACCCCTCAACATTCTTAATGTGCCTACCCCTAATCAGTCAGGGGCTTGTAATTCAGTGGTTGTCTTGTCTTTCATATTTGTTTTTCGAAAATTGTATTTTATAAATTAGGCCGTTAGTTTTTTCGTTTGAAATGCTTCACATTTTTCATGTCGGGGTCTTTTATAGCTACTTTACTGTTAGAACTTTTATCATTGTTTGAAGGCCGTACGGTGACCTATACTTGCTTTTATCTTCGTCATTTGAACTCTGGTGAATAGTTATCTCATTGGTTATCTTACCACATTTCCTTATTTTTCATATTGATGATTGCATTAGGTTGCTCAAATTTGTCGAAAAATCTATTATCGTTCACCTTTCAGTTACTTAAATGTTCGTTAATCTACAGACAAGAGAAAGAAAAATAGAACGATAAAATCTTCAAAACGAATACTCCAGATAAGATTTAATTTCGGCAAACGTTTGTGCTGGCAAAATATGGCATATGATTCGCCTCCATTAAACATATTTCCTCTACCTCATGAACTTATGTAAACTTATGTGAAGGCAAAAAATAGAAATTTGAAATCATAAATTGTGGTATGGTGACATCTAAAGGCCATTTGTCACTATCAAAGTTTTCTTGTACAAGTTTTCTTGGTCAATTTTTTTATGGAATTTTTTATAGTACCAACCGTCAAAGTTTGCTTGGATGGAATATTTTTCTTAAAACTGGATATACTTGGACGGGAATTATCCAATCACAGTGCAGTTTCTTCTTTGACCAAGTTTTTTATGAAAAACTTTGATAGTGACAACAGAAAACTTTGACCAAGTTAACTTTGATAGTGACGACCGGGCTTAAAATCAGGTCATCATAAAATCAGCATTGATTTTTTTGTGTGTTAGTTAATGCATAACATTTCACTGATTTGTGTACCTATAAAAGAGATATACATGCGGTACACTATTCTAATGAACTTTCTGGAAAATGGTAAAAAAAAGAAATGGAATATTAACTAGATTTGCAATTGCGAGCAATAGCGGATGGCACCCTCGTCCCCCAATTGCCAGAATAACGGCAGCCATTATGAAAAATCCAAAGTCAAGCAGCACATCTACACATGCCAATTAACATTTTTGTAATTTTTCATGAAGTTTTGAGCATTATGAAATTTTGGACATTTTTTCGGTTTTCATGATAACGGTGGCCATCTTGTGCATTCCAAAGTCAGAGGGACAACTTCACATGGTGGACAACACTATAGCATAGTTCCGTCAACTTTGGTCCAATTAATTCTAAAAAAACTGGTCCGGACAAAAAAAGTGGAAGAAAAATAACAGGAAAAAAAAAAAGAAACGTAGAATAATAATATAACACACCAACTCCGTTGAGGGTGCCATAATAATGCCGTATGATTTTTGCAAGGAGACAATATTTTTTCTATATTGATATTTTAAAAGTTGTATATTTATGAAATATTTACATATATTACTTTACTTATACAGTTATCAATTGTGTTCAAATTGTAGGACCGAATAATGCTTTATTAACATCTCTTCTGATATGTTTTACTCTGTATGTTGATTCTGGGGGGCTTCATCTGATACGAACCACATTTGACAAAGAATAAAAAAATCTATCTGAAGAAACTTTTAGGCCATAATCTATCTTAATTAATTCGAACACTTGTCACCTACTATAACCTTCATCATGAAAACATGCTAATGCCAGTGGAGTTTATACATGTACCACCTTGAAAATGTTCACAACCTACATGAAAATAAATCCATTTTTTTTTTTACATATTCTGATAGGCTTATTCGTCCGTCAATACTTTTATCATCTCCATAAAACATATTGTAAGAAACTATTTAAATGTATATTCCGTACCATATAATAAATGTGGGTCTGGATGGTATTTACAAAATATAGAATAATGGGTAAAACATATAAAATAATGGATCAAAAGTGTAAGTAATATGAAAAGATAACTAAATAAAATAAAATGCTCCAATGAGCGCAGCTTGATAAGACCGCAGTGGTAAAACCATGAACAGTTGGGGCAATTATGGACACTACATTCAAGCTTGATACTGCTCTGAACTCGGGTTGTGATTAAAAAATTTGACAAAGCATAGGTTTCTGACACAGAATGAGTGTGGTCTAAGAACTTAAAAATTTGAAATTATACATTTACCTATTATGGTCCAATATCCAAAATCTAAATACATGGTTAGATTCAGCATACCAAAAAACCCCAAGAATTCAATTGTTGATGTAGTCAAATAAAGTTTAATTTTGGACCCTTTGGACCTCAATGTGGACCAATTTGATGACGGAGCCCAAAATCCAAAATCTAACTACACGGTTAGATTCAGCATATCGAAGAACCCCTTGAATTCAAGTTTTGTTTAAATCAAACTAAGTTTAATTTTGGACCCTTTGGACTTTTACGTGAACCAATTTGAAAACCGGTCCCAAAATCAAAAATCTAAATACACGGTTAGTTTCGGCAAATCAAAGAACCCAAATAATTCAATTTTTTATGAAATCAAACAAAGTTATATTCTGGACCCTTTGTACCTAAATGTGGAAAACGGTCTCAAAATCCAAAATCTAAATACACGGTTAGATTCAGCATATTGAAGAACCCCAAGAATTCAAGACTTTGAATTAAACCCCATTGAAATTGCTCAAGAAATAAGAAACATATACAAATTATTTGAACGTTATTGTTTTTGGTCCCTTTTCCTGAACAATTAGTGCTATAACCCCCATAATCAATCCCAAACTTCCTTTTTTGGTATGAAACCATGTGGTACAATTTCATAGAGATCCATAGACTTAAAATCAAGTTATTGTCTAGAAACCAGAAAATCCAAGTTTTTCGGTCCCTTTTGGCCCCTAATTCCTAAACAGTTAGGACAATTACCCCCAAAGTCAATCCAAACATTATTTTTGTGGTAAGGAACTTTGTGGTAAAATTAATAGAGATCGATACACTTATACATGTACTCAAGTTATTGTCCAGAAACCAAATGTCTTCGTACGACGACGACGACGACGATAACACCATTACATTATACAATCACAAAAATTTTGCGGTCGTATGAAAAATACATAAAAAATAACAATTCATCAAAATAATTTTGATTTATTCATATAAAAAACAAGTCATTTGGTTTTGAGAAAAATGGGGAAAAATATACAAAACAGAGAATAATAGACAGGGGTGCTAAAACATAAAGAAAAATTGGCAAAAAAAATAATAGACAACAACAGCCTAAACATTTATAAATACAGAAATGAAGACCCACATCCAAACCCTCAAAAATGCTGAAATGTACGGCTATTTTATACTGGAAATTTAAACCCATAGAATCCACTAATAAAAAAAGAGGAATACTGAAAATAATTCAAAATAAACCCCATACAAACACTTAACATTTCCTACCCCTCCGTTTATCAAAGGATCGCTATGCAGTAGATAAAAGATATACAACTATAAAGCTTGAGAAACGATATGAAAGATAAACATTTATTTCACTGACCTCTTTGATATGACGACCAAGTGTTTCACTTTGCTCCTTCGATTTCTCTAAATTTTTGTGGTAGTTATCCTTCATTATTGACATCTGTTTCTGAACTCCTTTGATAATTTCATGGTTTAAAACCTTCTCGTGCTGCATTTGGTCTAAGATGGTAAGAAGTCTCGAATGTTCTTTCTGTAAGTTTTCAAGCCTCGTTTCGAATCTGACTTTCATTGCCATGTATTCTGCACGTAAGACTTTTTCGTGGTGCTGTATTTGGAAGGCAACTTCCTCCTATAATATAAAACAAATATGGAGATGTGGTATGTTTGCCCTGAGACAACTATCCTCCAAATTTCAAATGACGAAAACATAAGCAATTATTGGTCACCGTATGGCCTTCAAAAATGAGAAAAACACATACCTTATAGTCGGTTATACAAGGCCCCGACATGAAAAAATGTGAAACAATTCAAACGAGAAAACTCGTAACATAATGAAAGTCATTTCAAGTTTCAATAAATTTATACCGTGTTTTCATATAATGTGTGTATCATCTATAATAATGTGTGCCTATTTACGTAAAAATCGATTGCAGTCTACTTAATGTCGAGTTTTTATATCCGTATTTAGATGAACCAAGAATACGAATTATATTTTTAATGAAATTCGTTACATTGTGCTGTTTTATAGTGCTTCCGTTTTATCTGAGATTTAAATTACATTTATTCATTACAAGCAGTTGTTTTAGTTTTCCCAAATTTAATTTGAATCTTTTGGAATACAATTATTTCCTGATAATGCCCAGTACCAAAAAAATATTGATCTGTAATAAAACGCAATTCGATTTATTGCCCTTCAACCAGTAGCAAATATTCTTGATGATATATATCACATTAACACGGTTTTGCAGATCAATAAATATAATCTGTTATTTTAACTATTGACTATGCTTCACCTTTTATGCCCCACCTACGATAGTAGAGGTGCATTATGTTTTTCGGTCTGTGCGCCGTTCGTCCGTCCGTCTGTTCGTCCGTTCGTCCGTCTGTCCTGATTTAGGTTAAAGTTTTTGGTTAATGTAGTTTTTGAGGAAGCTGAAGTCAAATCAACTTGAAACTTAGTACATATGTTCCCTATGATATGATCTTTCTAATGTTAATGCCAAATTAGAGTTTTGACCCCCAATTTCACGGTCAACTGAACATAGAAAATGATAGTGCGAGTGGGGCATCCGTGTACTATGGACACATTCTTGTTTTCTATTTATTTACATAGGGACGCAATACCTGGGTAGGACAAACTGTATGAACAATTGGATTAGAAAATCACAGTTAAACTTGTGATTTTTTTTTAAATATTAATGATATTAACACAATACAGGCTAAGTTTATCTTATCCTGCTTTAATGACAGATTTGCGTAATTGATAAAGGCTAAGTTGTATCTAAATACGCAACAAATTACTTATTTCAGTGTGAACTTGTGCATGTGAGGGTGTGTGTGTGTGTGTTAAAAATACTATCATTATAATTATATAAATCTTTTCACCACTAAAGTTACGAAGAACACAAAACAATTGGATACTGCCAAAATATGTATTCACTAATAAACAAGGAGACAAAGAAGGCAATACACTCATGATTGAAAGATGAAAACTTTAGACACTATTATGTAAGATATAACTATATACTTTAGTTTCCGTATTTTGAATGTTCACAAAAAAGTGTTCAAACAATAACATTATTTATACAATTATAAATGTAAATAAGCTACTACAATTTTATAAAGATTATGCTTTCCTCGGCAGTTTTCCTTTCCTCCAGATGTAGTAGTATTTATGATTAAATGTATTAAAATGCACACACTTTTCAGCTAGTATAAACACCATGATCAACTCAATACATTGTTTACGAGATTGTAATAGTTGGATGGATCCAGGAAACAATCTTGTTATATAATACCATGGTTTTATTTCACTTTTCATATTATCTGCTCTGGAGGGTTTGGGTATCCATAAATGAATGAGAACCCATATTCCACAACATGACAAATACATTTTCTAAATGTATGTTTACTTAAGTGAAAATGAAATAGTTAGCAGTACTTGGAACATATCAAATATATATTAACAATCTTTCCAGTACCGTTGCTCTAGATCTTTTTCGTAACATATCGAGTATTAATGTTCGTACTACAACTTGACAATCTGATGATAAACCAAACATTACTGACTTTCGAAATTCGGATTCAGGGAGCGTAGAGTGTGTACGGCCCCTCCCCTTTTTGATCGGAAAAAATATTATTTTTTCGCGTAAAATCGGTTTAAAAAAATCGCCTAGCTATATATACCGTATATAATCCGTTTGCTGGAATAACGGCCCCTTTCAAAAATCCTGAATCGATATACTCTTGACTATTCCTTATTGCACTTTTGACAAATAGTGTTAATGCCTCATATGTAGAAACACTTAAAAAGACGAACAGGATAGGAAAATTCTCAAAATTTATTCCTAACAAACTCACATCCGTTAAAAATAAGAATAAATTCTCTTTTGGAATGCCAATAAGAAAAATGGAGATTGCGTTAACGTCAATGACATCTAGCAACCCAACAACACAAAAACAAAAACAAAACCATATTACTACACGATAAATCAAAAGATCTACAAACCTGGTTTTTAAGTCGCTCTAAATCAGAGGCCATTTTATCATTATTACTCATTTCAGTTGTCAGTTGGCGTATTGTTTGAGTTAATTCATCTTGTAATTTTAACTTCTCATTTTTCAAAGTTCGAATATTTGCATCATGCTCCACTTTTAAAATCCTTAACTCATGTTGCAACTTTTCCCTTTGTTCTAAACATTTATGAGTTTCCTTTCTCATCATTTGTGCTGCTTGACTCTCCTTTTTATCGATCGAAGCTTCATATATCGATAGTTTCTCTCTAGCTACGGTTAATTCTTGACCTAACGTAGAACGATCTTTATTCCATAAAACCATTGCTTCACTCAACGCTTGTTTAGTTTTCTCCATTTCATTTTGTAATGTGTTATTATCGGTATGCACCTTTCCAACACTATACGCCATATCTTCAAGTTCTCGTTTCAAACGCTCGTTTTCTATTTGAATATTCGACTCTTTCGAATTATTTTCGTAACTTTCTATCCTTTCCGTAAGTTCTTTTAACTTTTCATCTTTTTCCTTTATTTGAGAAATGTTTTCAGACATTTCACTATTAAGAAAATTGATTTCTTCTTGCTTTTCATCGGTACCATTATTAAGATTTTGTAATATTTCGTCTTTTTCTTTTAATCTTTCATCACGATTACGTACACTTTCGCGTAACTCCCGGATGTTGTTATCCCTTTGTGAAATTTGATCCAGCAGTTGCTGTAAGTCGTCTTCTCTTTGTTTAATAATGTCCACGTGTTCCTGAATTATATCATCTTTTCTGTCAAGGATCGATTGCTTTTCCTTAATCGTATTACTATATTCCTTATTAAGTTTTAAAGCCTTTTCTTCTCGCATTTTGAAACTGTTCGATGCCTCTCGGAGCTGATCACACAGGTCCGTTAATTTCGCTAATTCTTCTTCTAATTCGAGTTTCTCTTTTTCCGTGGCGGTACTTTTAGATTTCCATATGTCATTAGCCTTCAAATTAAATAATCAGAAAAAAACAATTACAATTAAAGGTAAGGACAATATAGCATGTGCTCACATTAATGGTACCAATTTATCTGCCCCAGATGCACATTTCGACAATAAATATCTCTCGTCAGTGATGCTCGAGGCCAAAATATTGGAAAATCCAAAACTTATTAAAAGAATGAAAGCTTATAAATCAAATTGGACAATAAGTAAAGCCAAAGCCGGGCAAGGAATCAGAGCTTTGCATGAAGGAGATATTTTTCTCAATTTAAAATGAATTCCAAAATATTGTAACAGCAAACTTTAATAACACTATATCTGCCGGTACCGAAGTATAGTGTGTCTCAAAATAATACAGGCAAAAATAGTTGTCAATATTTTTGTATCCCTCAACAATTGTCAAGATGATATTGTGTGAAGTGAAATTTTGTAAAACTGCTTTCAAGGTTGATAACAAACTGATGTAAAATGACATGGTTAAGTCCACAAGTCCATGTGTTTGGAATAGGATACCCTTAAAATCACCATGATGATCTTCATGTCTTGTAGAACATTTACAAGTAAGATTAAATTCCGTCTAACAGTTTTCCATGAATTGTGGGTTGACAAAGTGTCAGACAGAACTGATCCCTATGTGCTTCTTCAACTGGATGATGTCAGGAGATACAATAATGGTAGTAATATGAAAAGTTTATTTATATGCCCCATTTATGGGCATTATGTTTTTCGGTTTGTACGTCCGTTCGTTCGTTCGTCCGTTCGTTCGTTTGTTCGTCCGTCCGTTTGTCCGTCTGTCCCGCTTCAGGTTAAAGCTTTTGGTCAAGGTAGTTTTTGATGAAGTTGAAGTCCAATCAACTTGAAACTTCGTACACATGTTCCCTATGATATCATCTTTCTAATTTTAAAAAATTCGAGTTTTGACCCCAATTTCACGGTCCACTGAACATAGAAAATGATAGTGCGAGCGGGGCATCTGTGTACTATTGACACATTCTTGTCTTATCAGAGATGCCAGGCTTATAATCTGGTACCTAAAACACGAGTTTGGTCTTCAGTGAAACTTCATTGCCTAAGGAATCAAAACAATCTGAAGGTTTATTGGGGTGTAAAAGCGTTGACAGAAGTACATCTTGTATGGAGCTCGGAAGAGCTTCATTCTAAAAATGTGCGCACGGTCAACACTTTTACAACCCTATAAAATTACTAAAAGTAGAATTCAATACTTATAATTACATTATTTTGATAGGATCATGAAAACACGATTTCTATTAAGGTTTTCTTATTTACCCGTGCACTTCATTGTGGAAGTTCGTGTCATCATGAATGTTACATTTTATTTTGTAAGAAGGTACATTACCACTAGCAAGACGTGGTTCCCAGTGAACTTTGTAATATTTATCAGTCTAAAATCAGTTAAACGTTTGACTGAATTGTGTATTGTTTAATTAAAAAAATCTTCATTTCTCATTATTTTAAGTATCTATTTTTCACCGTAGACACCTTGTCATTTCCCACAGTCACCAACCTTTGCAATAACCATTCATAACACGGGGGGGGGGGTCTCAACATGGGATTTTTGGTACAGTTGTGCAGCTGGGATTTAAAAAACACCCCACATTCATATATTGAATAATTTTGAAATCCCTACCTATACATATATTTCACAGCGAAATCATAACCCATTCATATATTTATCGTTGCACAACAAACTGAAAAATATGACCCATTGATATATCACAATTGGTCAATTACTACCCATTGATATATTTCCTCGGTAAAATTTCACCCCATTGATATATTTGACGTATCAAAAAAGGGACCCATTCCAGCAGCACATATGTATATACCTTCATATAGAAAGAGACACCCCCCCCCCCCCCCCCCCCCCCCCCCCCCCCCCCCCGTGTTCCTAAATAAGACGCAACTGTAGTTATGATGATTCCATTTTGAATGTACAAGTAACTGCATGAGTAATGTCTTATTTTTATTATTGCACGTGTGCCTTCATGTCTACCATACTTCTCATCCTAAAGATATTAATTAGCATTTCAAATTCAGATTATTGAAAAGAAAACTGATTATTCTGTCTTATATATACCTGAGCAATTGTCGGCATTAATGGATATTTGTGTAAAAACAATGCATATCTTACGGCTATTTGAACATGTGTTTTTTCGTGTTTTATAAAAATAATTTTCTATCGTCCCATAACCTTTAATAATCCATTACTGTATTGAAACGGTAATATTTAATGATGATCGATTCCTGCAATGTTATTAAAACTGCCTCCCGTTGTTGTCATGTTTATGATATTTATTTTACTTTTTGTTCCAGCTATTGAATATAAAAATAAAGAGGTGAAGTATGATTCTCAAGAGACAACAATCCTCCTACAGGTTGTCCCCATCTGGAACTATTTTGATTTAATAACATTAAAGAGAGAGCCACAAGATACCAAAGGGACATTCAAACTCATAAGACGAAAATACAATGACAACGCCATGGTAAAAAAAGAAAAAGACCAATAGACAAACAAAAGTACACAAAACACAACATAGGAAACTAAAGATTGATCAATCATTACAGGTCCAATTATACTGCAAGAGATGCACATTTTGACAACTAATATCTCGTAAGTAATTCTCGAGGCCAACATATTTGTAAATCAACAACCTAATACAAACTTTTAACAAGAATGTGTCCATAGTACACGGATGCCCCATTCGCACTATCATTTTCTATGTTCAGTGGACCGTGAAATTGGGGTCAAAACTCTAATTTGGCATTAGAATTAGAAAGATCATATCATAGGGAACATGTGTACTAAGTTTCAAGTTGATTGGACTTCAACTTCATCAAAAACTGCCTTGACCAAAAACGTTAACCTGAAGCGGGACAGACGGACGAACGGACAGACGGACGGATGAACGAACAGACGCACAGACCGAAAAACATAATGCATAAAAAACGATAAAACCAAGGTAAAGCCAAACATAGATAAGGAATGAAAAGCTACGCTTATTGATACAAAGGCAAAAGCAACCAAAATTATTTCCATGCACCATATAAGAGCTTTCGGAAATAAAAAATATTTTTTTGCATACTGTTGCATGTCTTTTTGATCGTTTTTCGTTATTCATCATGGTGTTGTCAGTTTGGCATCGAATAATGAGTTTTAATATCTGTTTGATATCTTCCGCATCTCTTTTAAAGTAAAACTATTATTTTACTTGTGTCGTTAACGAAACAGTGGATACGCAGTTCTTTCTGGAACAAACACGGCAACAACATTACAAGTCAAGAAGTCGTAAACATAGTTCTATGATACCTTCTCCACATAGGTGCTCGATTTAAACTACTAGTAATATAATTGAAACATCGAGAATTAAAAGAAAAAACTGTGCTATTTTAATTGTGTCGATACCGAAGAAGTGGTTACACGAAGAGGATTACCTTCTGGAGTGAACACTGCAACAACCCAGTGGAGATGGAATAAACCTATGACACCTTCTTCTCATTGGAGTTCGAAACAAAATTTTGGAAATTAAAACAAAACTTATCAAAGATACTTGGCTTATACTTAAGTACTCCTTAAAACCAAGATAGTACCAAAAGGTAGCAAAAAACTGCTTATCTGTAAGCCGATAAATAAAATGACACTCACAAGACAGAGAAGATGAATTATTTTGCTTTTTAAGCTTTTTATCATATTCTTTATGAAAAGGATACACTCTCAATGGCCAAGTTGAACATGAACATGCATTGATCTATAGCTGCTTTCATCTACATCAATTGGTCACTGGGGGGTGGTTGTCTCATTTGAAATCATAGCATATCTTATTTCTATATTGGCAATAACAAACAGCACAAAACTGAAGTTCGAGAACGGAAACTAAAAATTCCGCACTTTTTCCATTTGGAAAGGGGGCACAACTCTAGAATGGTAAAAGTGACGCCACCAAAATTCAAACTTGATCTGTCTTTTGTGGTAATAATCATTCTTTATAAGCTTCAAAACATTTGGTTGAGACAAACTTAAGTTAGAGAACGGAAACGAAAAATTCAGCAATTTTTCCATTTGTAAAGGGGCATAACTCTAGAAAGGTACAAGTAGTACAACCCAAATTCAAACTTGCTCTGTGTTTTGTGGTAATAAGCATTGTGTATAAGTTTCATAGCATTTGGTTGAGGTAAACTAAATTTAGAGAACAGAAACCAATGTCGGGACGTACAGACGGACGAACGGACGTACAGACGGACAAGGGTAAAACTTTATATCCCCTCCAATACGACGGGGGCATAAAAATAGTAAATGTGAGAATTACCATAATGTAAACAAAAAGTAAACCAGATGTTAAAACTCTGAATAAAAATATGAAAAGATATCTTTCAATTTTTTAAATACTCTAAAAATTAATCGAAAAATGGATTCATGTTTCCAATGTTCTTGCTACAAACTTAAATAAATCAAGAAGAATGTATAATAATGCAATTTTTTGGCCCCTTTAATTCAAAATTGAAAATATAATATAAATGTATTCCATATAACATTCTTCAAATATACACAGAACTTTTTTCATTTATTTTGTAAATGTCCTAGCTAAAACGACAATTCAACGCCAGCTTTTGAGGTCCAAGTAGGTCGAAGCAAGTTCTCATAATCCAATGCTACCTTAACCCGGAATATTGCACAGGACTACTGTTTTCATTCGATCTGACACTAACCACGCGTGATGTTACGCCACATACCTCTTCTAATCTGGCCTCAAGACTTGTAACTCTTTTCCGGAAATATTCTATATCTTCTTTTTCACTAGCCTCGTTTTCGACGATTGTGTCGATGTTTTCGTCACTGTCCCCTACATCCTCGTGTAATCGTTCCTGCAAGGATCATAATTTGCTATTGCATATTCAATTTGGTCGAGTAAATTTTGTATTAACAACGATTCTGCTTAATAAACATCTGCATATAACAACTTTGGCATTGCATATGAAATTTGAAATCTAATTTTCCTTAATACAAAGCAATATCCAATGATTCTAAGGCATATATCAATAATCAATTTTATAGTATATTTTCTTTTATAGTTATTAACAATGAAATATAATTTACTGTAGATATAAAACTCTTGTTTAATGACATGCATGCTCATATTTTATTATGTGATCAATGTCCACGATCCCCACATTGTAAAATTTTCGATTAACAGAAATATTGTTATTATTAATTGTATTGCTATTTTTTTCTACTAGAAGGTTATCAATTAAGATATAACTGCAAAATCTATATTAATGACGTACTGGGAAAATGAATACATTCTTAATAAATGTTTAAAATAAAGGTACGAAAGGTACGAAAGGTAATCAAAGAGAATATAGTTGTAATACATTTAAAGTTGATTATATGATATACATGTACTAAAATACTAATTAAGCATACAAGACGTGCATAAGCAGATAAATAATAAACATATAATAATGCAGTATCATGCTATATATTTAAAGAAAAATCGTGTTTTAAATCGATTTATTACATTATTTCAAAATATACGGGTTTTTTCGAGAAGGATATGTTTTTTTTTTTATAAATTTCTAATGAACTACATGAAATCAAAATCTGTCAACTGGTCGACATCAACCAAACCTATCTTATAAACAAGAAAAACGAGGTATACTATGAAATGTTTGAACAAAAAGGTTAGACTGTCTATTTAGGGAGCTGCCATTTGATTTTTATGGGGGGGCTAGGATGAAAAATTTTGTCCTGCATTTTGTTTAGTTGTAATCTCTGTCCTGCCTTTTTATTTTTCACTCTATTCGGTCCTGCCTTTTTCTTTAGTTTATCCTGACTTTTGTTTTACATAAATTGTCATCCTGCCTTTTTTTTTGCAAATTGTCTCATCCTGCCTTTTTTTTACCCAAAAATCCTGTCCTGCCTATTTTTTTCAAATTTCATCCTAGCCCCCCATAAAAATCAAATGGTAGCTCCCTTAGAATAAAAATAACTGAGACGGAAATATTTTCAGGAACATTTTATTCAGAATGGTATCATATACTAATACACACTGATGATCCAACAGACAACACTGTATCGATGCTACCAGAGGGTGTTCCGACTGACAAGACAGTGTCTATACTACCAGAGAGGGTTCTGTCGTCATCTTCTAATGCAGGCTAGAAAGGACATAGGAAAGTTAGTTCAACAGTTTGTTTTAACCTTTCTGCTTTATTCAAAGTCAGTTAATACAATACTACTGCTAGTTTCAAAAAATAAAACAAAAGCTCATCAAAGATAACAGGCTTAAAAGGATAAGGTACGGTAAGCCCCCGTTTTGGCCCCCCTATTTCCTCATTTTTCAAATTTTGTTTTGGAGAGCTACTTATCATGTTAAAATATTCCCCGAGGTTTGAAGTTTGTTAGGATGAACTTCAAAACCCTTGATTTCAGCAACTGGGTGAGGTGAGGGGGGTAAAAGGGCATCAAAAACGCCAAAAGTAGGAAAAATGACGATTTTTGGCCTGTATTTCTTAAAATTTAATAGCGTGCGCCTACGTGACCCGGAGAAAATAATGGCGATTTAAACAGCAAAAACAGTGATAATGACATTGGTATAAAAAAAATTCTGGGTCACGTTGGCGCAGGCACTTAAAAACTAAACATTCGTTGTACGAAACACCTCCAAAGTTAATAAAAATTACAATATCTGAATAATAATGGGAAGTTTACCCCCCCCCCCCCCCCCCTCACCTCACTCAGTTGCTGGAATCAATGGTTTTGAAGTTCATCCAAACAAACTTCAAACCTCAGGGAATATTTTAACATGATAAGTAGCTTTCCAAAACAAAATTTGAAAAATGAGAAAATAGGGGGGCCAAAACGGGGGCTTATCGTACCTTGTCCTTTTGAACACCAGACGCATGTTTCATCTTAAAAAATTTCTAATTGATTTTCGTATGCTGAAGTTTGAACATCATTATTCAAATGTTTATTTTCAAGCATTCAAAATCATGTGTCAAGGCTTCGCTAACAAGCTGTTTTAAAGTCCTTTCGGAATCATCTGGTTTTATCGTAATGATACTCACCTCCAAAAAGCTTGGAGGCAATAGTTTAAGAAATCTTAATTGCTGGTGTAAAAATTACCAGACCAGAAAATAGAACAGAGTGTTGCACAGATCCTTGTAAGCAAAGCCTGGACACAGAATCTGAATATCAGATTAATCATAACAGTAATAACATAAGTCTTCATATCAAATGTTAGAACTAAAAGGAGTGCTTTTACACTGTAACGCAGAAAGTTCGGGGTAAGAAAGTATTGAAGCTGTTGTCTGACAATTATTTTTGTCATAAGAAATATATACGTTAAAATTACAATATGTTTTACAATAACAACATCAATTAGACGGTAACGTACATTGAAAGTATAGTATCCTCTGATTACCAAATTTTGCAACTTATCACTGCATTTTACTATCAATGAGGACACGAATTGTGTCACTAGTGCAGTAGGAATGGATTACCCTTCTGAAGCAGCGGAGTTCACCGTCGGTGTTTGATGGGATTCGTTTGGCAAATATTTAGTCCTCTGTGCAGTCTTTTGGTATTGTTGTTTGTCGTTTTGTCTTTTGGTCGTTTTTGTGCTTTCTTTTTGGACATGGTGTTGGGATTAGTGATTTTTGATTGGCTCCTTGGTAACTTCTCGCTTTTCTTTTGAACTCAAATTGTTTTAAATTTCTTTCTACTGTTTACATGTATATCTTTCTTTTAAGTATATGAATAAAAAGAGATGTAATGTAAACTTCTGTATAAAACGAGTTGATTTGGTTTCTTGGTTAATGTTAATTTAATTTAATTACCTCTCATTCACATTTTACCATCATTCCATGATATCAATTAATCGACTAAAAGATAATACGTCTTATAAATTGAAAACGAACTTAAAGTAACACAGACCACACATGAATGTTACGATGAAGAAATATTCTATATTTTGGTAAAATGTTTAAAGAGTCTATTTTATTTTGATTGACTTCATGGGGATTAACTAGATTTTAATTCATGAGGGTCTCGGGGGGGGGGGGGGGGGGGGGTTCTATTCTTTATTTATTTAAACAATTATTCTCTATTCTTTATATTTCAGCACCCCATTTTTCTCTATTCTTTATTATTTTTGCCTACTAGCATTTTTCTCTATTCTTTATTTTTTTGCCCTTTATTCTGCACGTTTTGCCCATTATTCTCTATTCTGTAAAGCCCATCCAACCCTCATTCATCGTAATTATTTTTTGGACAGTAGATTTCTACCTGATTATCCCAAAATGGATTCTTCAGTCTGCTATTTTCATCTTCTAATGACCCAATTCTTTCTTTTAGACCATGGATTTGATCGCTTGCTATCCTCAAATGTTTCTTTGTTTCTTGCAGCTATAAAATATAAATTTACTATACTATATCGTTTATTGTTTCGTCACGAATCTGGTCGTTGGATTTGGTTGGTTTCTCCTTCGAATTATTCCATATTTTGTCATGTCGGTTTTTTTTTATAGCTGACTATACGGTATGTGTGTGTTCATTTTCTATTGCTTACACATCTATCATTTGGAATATGACGGATAGTTGTCTCAAAACTAAGTAAAAATGTCCCGATAGGAAATAGGACACAGTCAGTAAGATCTTAGACCATTAATCAAGTATATAAAAGATATGAATAATGTTTTTCACTTTATAATAAATATCTTAAATTAACGGAGTTCCAATGTCCCCCGTGTTGCACATATTTCATCTATCCAAGGTACAAGGGCAATAACTATAAAAAGCACTTTTTTGGTTCTTTAAACCTTTTGATTAATATCTTAGAGAAATGAAGGCTTCAGAGCTTATGCAATGTGATTTCCATTATAATTAATATTTCCAAGGGGCATAACTCGTTAAAAATATTTGATCAGAACGTATTTTCAAAAGTGTCAAAGATATTGCTGATACAAACCTATGATATAAGTTTCATAAAATTCAGGCTAGAATTGAACACATGAGAGCTTTAACTATGCAATTTTCCATATAATTAATATTTCCAAGGGGCATAACTCTTTCAAAAATAATTAATCGGCACTGATTTTTGAACTCGTCAAAAACATTGATGATAAAACTTATAGTATACATTTCATAAAAATCTGGCAAGAATTGAACACATTAGACGCTCATAAGGCAATTTTCCATTTAATTGATATTTCCAAGGAGTATAACATTTAAAAATTATTGATCGGCACTGATTTTCGAACTCGTCAAAGACACTGCTGATATAAACCTATGATTTAAGTTTCATAAAAATCTGGCAAGAATTGAACACATGAGAGCGCTAACGATGCAATTTTCCATATAATTAATGTTTCCAAGGGGTATAACTCTTTTAAAAAATAATTGATCGGCACTGATTTGCAAACTTGTCCAAGACATTGCTGAGATGAACCTATGATATAATTTTCATAAAAAATCTGGCGATAATTGTACACGTGAGAGCGCTAACAATACCGGACGGACGGACACCCGGTATTTCCATGTCCCCCGCAACGCGTTACGCTGGGGACAAAAAAAATGGATCGACACTTGGATTTTGATGAGGGGAAATGTTTACAAGTACTATTAGTAAGAACTACCGTACATTCCATTTGCTGTTCAATGAAAAATACAATGGCACTACAACAGCAGAGTTACATACTACTGACTTGCCTCTTTTACACTCCTTAATTGTGTGGAATATGTTGATTGTACCAAAGCATTGAGCGTGAAACGATATTTCTCCTGTCGAGACAGTTAAGGTGGTACCCAACACCTTGACTAATATTAATTTGGCTCGTTTAATTTTCATAAAATTTTGACAAAATGTTTACTTTGACCCTTTGACAAAAATATAAAAATTTCAAAAAATTTGAACCAACCACTTTATCAGAAAAATTTCATTGGTTATATAGCAGTTTGACAAACACTAATTTTGATCATTGAGAAGCTTAATATTTCCTTAACAATACAACGTGATTAAAACGTTCAGCTGATTTTTACAGAGTTATCTCCCTGTAGTGTTAGGTACCACTTTAAGTCACAGACATGAAAATATATCAAAATAACACTTGTATATGTTAGATATGAATGTTTTGTGATACACTATATACTGTTTACAATATGAAATGTTATAAAACATCCTTAATGTTTTCTTAAACCCTTGGATATAGCCAGAATTTACTGTTATTTTTTACTAAAATACCTTTCAGACCTGAAATAGGACTATTATTCATATCATTTGTTATTAGGATTTATCACTATGTATTGCATTTTGATACATACAAACATTTTTAATGATTTGGGAGGTGTATGTTTGTTTTATAATAAAAAAATTTCAACCAAAAGAAGAGTCTCATTTTTTTAAGTCACTGGTGTAACCAAAAGACAAATTGGTTGGGTAAGAGTTATCTTTCTCAAGATTTCAGCATTTACAATAGTTTCTCCCCTAGCAATGTTAACTGTAAGCATGTTATGCAAAAGAAAAAATAAATCAATGTTGAAAATTTAGTGAAAAAATCTTAAAAGTAAGTAAAAGCTATATCGTAAATGAAAATAGTGTCCATGGTGTATCCTTATAAAAATCATTTTCCGAAAGATTTCCTGAACTTTGTTTTATGAAAAAATATTGATTGTAGAAACATGCACCAGGAACAACATATAAAATAGGGGAATGGAACACTTATTTTGAAACTAAATCTAAATATACACCTGTAAATCATTGGTGTTACTGTCAATGGTGAGACCACTTTAATAAAATAACACCACTGACCAGTTTAGTAACACCACTGAATATATTATGACAATCAGCATTTTTGTGTGTTTCTTTCACGTTTAACAAGCGAAAAATCATATCATTTATGAAATATAATACTTATTTAACAATGTGTGTTTTAACAATATAATGTATTACAACCGTATTACAAATACAAAGTTTTCACAAACTGGCGTATACTGGTAACACCAATGACACTATTTAGTAACACAAATTGACATTTTTAGTTATTGATGTTATGTTATATAATTTGAGATTTTTTAGCCTAAGAATTATTTTTTTTTGTTTTTCTTTTGTTCAGTTTTCTTTGTTTTGTGTTCAGTACTTAATAAAAGTAAAATTTGTTGTCAATGGTGATACTTTTGTGTCAATATAGTTACTGAAGGGTCAGTGGTGTTACTATATAAAAATGCAATAATTTTTATTTCTTATTAACAAATGAAAGTGTTTTTAGGTCGTATACGAAGGATTAGGCATTATCTAATCATTCAGTCTTATACATTTTACATATATTCAGTTTAAGTGTATTTTTTAATATTAACAACGGCCATAATTAGGACAGCCAACTTTTTTTACATCAATTTACTCTGAAATTTATGTTTAAGGGACTAATCATTTTTTACCTGGGAGGGGGGGGGGGGGGGCTGGTCATTTTGAAATCAAAAATACAAAATTTCTTTATCCCCCCATAATATTTCACTATTTTTATTTGATCCCCCTGTGAAAACATTTAAAAAAATGTGATCCCCTCTCTATTAAACATGCCAAAATTTTAACATGCAAAACACTTATCATTTTATTTCACGAACATATTGAAAATGAAATATTCTCAGTGGATTGAGTCCAAAAACATATTTGAGGGAAAATTGCCTTGAAATAGGGCTCTTCCATGAATATTAGAAGTTGAGCAAGCCAGTGCTTTGAGTAGCTTATTCTGACTTTTTTTCTAATTTCCTATATTGGGCTGTTAAAGAAAACTTGATCCTAAGTAACTCTGTAAAAATTTACATTAAAAAGTTAACTTTTCGAAACAGTAACAACACATTATTTACTAAGAGGGGTCTATTATATGTTCCTCTCTTGAACGCTGCTTAAACTTAAGGCCTTATTGAAACCACCATTGAGTCGCTAAACTTTTATATGGATAGTTCATTTCAGCTTGAACAACTCAATTACTCATTTATTGTCACATTTCATTCATAAATGTGTGATAATAACCTCAAAATTTAGATTTATTAGCCTAAAAAGTACAAATTTTGAGGGAGTGTGAGGTATAAATTGAGTCAAAGGGATCTTGTAATGAAAACAAAAAGATACATAAGGGTTGTTGGTCATCTCAGAATCATCTTTTGTAACAATATTCAACTGTTTGTATGCAATATTTAATCATTTATTGGAGAAGATATTACTCTACACTATATTCTTTCATGATGCGGCATGATTTGTATTTTTGGACAAAATTTTGCACAAATCGCTGCATGCAGATTTCATTTTAATTTATACTTAATTTCTCTCAAACTATTAAGCTGATAATAACAAAACTTGGCAGTAATGCTTGTCAATTTAGTGATCGAAGTGAGTGAAATATAACGACTGAATAATTCGGATTATGAAGCACCTATGCATTTTATATGGGACAAAATGGCACAAAATGGCCGCTTCCTACATCACCAAAGTCTTGTGATGTCTTACTTAATTGTATATGAATGGTGTTAAAGATATATTTTCGATTTGACTGTTTTATAATGTTCTTCTTGATATTTTGTCTCCTGAAGTATATGAACTACTAATTTCCATGTGCAAAAAATATTGATCCCCCCACTTTGAATTTATAAAAAATTTGAACCCCCCTTTTCCACATACAGAAAAAAACTTGATCCCCCCTGCATTTTGACCAGCCCCCCCCCCCCCCCCCCTTCCCAGATAAAAAATGATAAGTCCCTAAATAGAATGCATACCTATAAAAAAAATTTCAATAAGTAGTAATTTTAACCTTAACAACAAATTGGAACAGTTATTTGATATTTAACAATATTTTTTAGTAACTAAATGTATTGTGACAGATATTTGACATAAATTTTGGACATAGCTGACGTTACAATTATTATTTAAATTTTATTAAAATAAGAAACGTAATGATTTTGTTAATCACTATTATATACCGTGGGATAATGCAAACTGTTCTCTGGTCATTTAAAGATGATTTCTTATCACCAATGTCAAAGTGACCTCTCTATTATCTATTGGACATTTACTTATACAACATTTTGACCTTATTTCGGACAATAACCATATTAGGTAATTTCTAATTTTATGCTGACAAAGAAAGTCACGTTGGCATACCATCAATTAAATGATTGCTATATAAGTAGAAATTCTGCTTTGAGACGTCAAAGTTTGAATTTCGAAACTTATAGGTAAGTCATGATTTTAAAGTTATTAAGATTTAAAGTAAAATATTTTTAAACAAGTTAAACTAAAATAAATATAATTAAAAGTTTTCATAAATGAAGTTTTGTCAATATATCTATTGTTTTCTTTTAAGGAAATAATTGAAAATATTTGTTTTACTTTATTGTTGTTTGTAACTGTTTTGTATTATTTTTCTTTTTATTTATTTTATTAAAAAGTTTGACTTATAGGTGTCAGTCGATCCCGGCCTGCCTCTACATCGGCAACAACGCCCGGCCTGCCTTTACATCGGCAGCAATGCCACACACCATCGAAGGCATTGTACACAGCTAGTTCCCCCCGAACATCTAAAGCCAAGTACCAGCTCTCACAGAAGTAGTTCTTCTGTTGAGAGTCTGCCGGGAATCAACACAACAGCTAACTTCACAACATAACAACATTCTATATATACCATTTACATGGATTCCAACAACGTCCTTCCTTTTATTGTGTTATAATAAATGCATGTTTTATATTGGTAACATCATTGACATGGTTCTATCAGAGGATGACCTAAATTTGTTAAAATTGAAGGAACTCTTCATTTTTCTGAATATAGTTGCTACCATATTATAGAATAGGAGGATTTTTTAAAACAATGACATCATTTTTCCAAATTTTCCCTCATCGAAATTTGCATGTTTTTTTATAATGACCCATATGTGGTGATGAAATCTGTTTTTCAAATATATTTTGAGGATATGCAGATAAACCTTATCTTGCTTTTTCAGCCTTTTAAGTCTAATAAAATGCTTCGCTGGGCGCAGCTTGATACGACCGCAGAGGTCGAACCCTGAACAGTTGGGGCAAGTATGGACACAACATTCAAGCTTGATACAGCTCTGAATTTGGATTGTGATTAAATATTTGACACAGCATAGGTTTCTGACACAGAAAGAATGTGGTCTAAGAACTTAAATTTTTTTAATTGACCTATTATGGTCCAATGTCCAAAATCAAAATACATGGTTAGATTCAGCATATCAAAGAACTCCATATATTCATTTTATGTTGAAATCAAACAAAGTTTAATTTTGGACCCCAACTTGGACAAACTTGAAAACTGGTCCCATAATCAAAAATCTAAACACATGTTTCAGATTCAGCATATCAAAGTACCCCAAGAATTCAATTTTTGTTAAAATCAAACTAAGTTTAATTTTGGACCCTTTGGACCGTAATGTAGACCAATTTAAAAAACAGGACCCAAAATTAAAAATCTAAAAACACGGTTAGATTTGGCATATCAAAGAACCCCAATAATTCAATTTTTGATGAAATCAAACAAAGTTTAATTTTGACCCTTTTGACCTCAATATGAACCAATTTGATAGCGGGCCCACCAATAAAAAATCTAAATACATGGTAAGATTCAGCATATCAAAGAACCCCTTATATTCAATTTTTGTTGAAATCAAACAAAGTTTAATTTTGGACCCCAATTTGGACCAACTTGAAAACTGGGCCAAAAATCTAAAATCTAAATACATGTTTAGATTCAGCATATCAAAGAACCCCTTATATTCAATTTTTGTTGAAATCAAACAAAGTTTAATTTTGGACCCCAACTTGGACGAACTTGAAAACTGGGCCCATAATCAAAATCTAAACACATGTTTAGATTCAGCATATCAAAGTACCCCAAAAATTCAATTTTTGTTAAAATCAAACTAAGTTTAGTTTTGGACCCTTTGGACCTTAATGTAGACCAATTTAAAAAACGGGACCCAAAATTAAAAATCTAAATACACGGTTAGGTTTGGCATATAAAAGAACCCCAATAATTAAATTTTTGATGAAATCAAACAAAGTTTAATTTTAGACCCTTTTGACCTCAATATGAACCAATTTGATAGCGGGCCCACAAATAAAAAATCTAAATACATGGTAAGATTCAGCATATCAAAGAACCCCATATATTCAATTTTTGTTGAAATCGAACAAAGTTTAATTTTGGACCCCAATTTGGACCAACTTGAAAACTGGGCCAAAAATCTAAAATCTAAATACATGTTTAGATTCAGCATATCAAAGAACCCCATATATTCAATTTTTGTTGAAATCAAACAAAGTTTAATTTTGGACCCCAACTTGGACCAACTTGAAAACTGGGCCCATAATCAAAAATCTAAACAGATGTTTAGATTCAGCATATCAAAGAACCCCAAGAATTCAATTTTTGTTAAAATCAAACTAAGTTTAATTTTGGACCCTTTGGACCTCAATGTAGACCAATTTAAAAAACAGGACCCAAAATTAAAAATCTAAATACACGGTTAGATTTAGCATATCAAAGAACCCCAATAATTCAATTTTTGATGAAATCAAACAAAGTTTAATTTTGGACCCTTTTGACCTCAATATGAACCAATTTGATAGCGGGGTCCACAAATAAAAAATCTAAATACATGGTAAGATTCAGCATATCAAAGAACCCCTTATATTCAATTTTTGTTGAAATCAAACAAAGTTTAATTTTGGACCCAAATTTGGACCAACTTGAAAACTGGGCCAAAAATCAAAAATCTAAATACATGTTTAGATTCAGCATATCAAAGAACCCCATATATTCAATTTTTGTTAAAATCAAACAAAGTTTAATGTTGGACCCTTTGGACCTTAATGTAGACCAATTTGAAAACTGGACCCAAAATTAAAAATCTAAATACACGGTTAGATTCGGCATAACAAATAAATAAATGTGGTCAAAGATTTTACAAATCTAATGCGCCATACTGGTCTTCCTTTATAAATATGCATTTCTTTAAACATAATTTAAAAGCAGTGTAAGGGAAGTAACCAAAACGTTGTATTTGGATTACCTCCCTTACACTGTTTTAAATTATCTTAATTGTTCATTAACCATTACTTTATACATAATTTAAAAGCAGTGTAAGGGAGATAATTTCAATGATGTATTTGATTTATCTCCCTTACACTGCTTTAAATTATGTTTTGTACTAAAGCATTTGTCCATTAATGAGGACAACCTTGTTTTCCCCCTTTTTTGCCCCTAATTCTTAAACGGTTTAAGCAATAACCCCCCAAAGCAAATCCTAACCATCTCTTTGTGGTATGGAAACTTGTAGTATAATTTCAGAGAGATCCATACACCGTTCCACAGTTATTGTCTGGAAACTAGAAAATGCTTATTTTTTGCCCCTTTTTGGCCCCTAATTCCTTAACTGTTGGTACCATAACCCCCAAAATCAATCCCCACCTTCCTTTTGTGGTATTGAACCTTATGGTAAAATTTCATAGAGATCCATTCACTTAAACTAAAGTTAGAGTGCGAAAACTAATGCGTCTTCGGCCAACGTCATACCAATATACGACCACAAAAATTTTTTTGCGGTCGTATAAAAATGAGGCGGAGGCAGCCGTACAATAGAAAATAAAGAGGAAAGCAAGAAAATTTGGCGTCACAATTGAATTTTGACCAATGATCAAATGAGATCAAACGAACCGCACGTTGATTTTTAATATCAACCGGCCGGAGAAAATATGATACGGCTTAGAATTAGAGAAATATAGATTCTACAAATGCATCAAGTGTGATACGAAATTTATCCACTCGAGACAGTTAAATTTTCAAATTTTAAACGCGAACCTCGCCGACCACATTAAATATTTAAATTTAACTGTAGATAGTGGATACATATCGTATTGCACGAGATTTAGTGGTTGAATCTGTTTCTCTACAAATTTTAGACGAATTACAGACAATCTTGATCCTTCTTTTCGACTGATCTGCAAAAAGATGATTGTGACGTCATCAAGCATTGCCGCATTTTTTATGACGCCACAATAGGAAATTCAGAGGAAAGGAAGAAAATTTAACGTCATAATCAATTTAGACCAATGAAGAACTGAGATCAAACGAACCACACGTTGACTAAATAAAAATTATTAACAGCTCAGTAAAAGGATAAATCGGGTAGATTAATAATCCGATCAAAGAAAGCTCAAATCGAACAAAAATGTAAATTACAGCTGGTCCCATGATATATCAAATTGTTGTTTTAATGAATTATCTATTGGTCACTCCATTGAACAACGATTTCCGATGTATATCATTTAGATATGATGTAATTTTAGTACAAGAATCATACTCACATCACTATGAAGGATTTCTTTTTCTCTTTCATGAAGTTTAGCGTCGTCAGACATTGCTGTAGAAAGCGTTTCCGTGGAAACTAAAGCTAGTTTCTTCTCTGTGGCTGCCAGTTTTTGACGCTCTTCTGCCAGTATTCTTTCGAGGCAATGGATTCTCTTACGAAATTGTCCCTGTGAACATAACTTTCATGTTTAATAAGTCCGTGACATTACAATATTTTTCTGTAGAACTAGAAACGTATTCTATAAACCATCATTATTACATTCTACTGACTGTGACGTTGTAACGCAATAACCCGTCATTAAAACATCATAGAATGTTCCCCTACTGACCTCAGATAACTACCAGATGAAACAAACAAGAAAACATTTGTTAATTGGCAATCAATAATCAACTACCAATCTTAATCTATCAGCCGAAACTGACATCTGCTATTTGTAGACTTAAAGTAATCTATTCACCTTTAAAGTGCAATCTGACATTTATCCAAGAAATCCCACAACTTTCATGGAATACCTTTTCACATTTACGGAAATAGTTGTTCACGCTGGAGATTAGTAATAATAAAATGCCATTTTTTAAAACACTATATTAACGAACAGATGTTCCGTAATCCAAATTATTTTAAAAAATCGAAAGCCCAAATCCACAGGCAAGAACCTAATGCAGAAACAAATGGAAAAATTACTGCAATATGCCTGGCTTGATACAAGCACTTTCTACTATTTTAAGCTCCAATAAATCATTTTGTAATTAGTAATTAATATATGGTACACGAAAATATTTCGTAAAAAGGCATAAATAATTTTCATTTGTACAATAGTGCAGGTGCTCTTATATCTCAAGACACTGATGTTCAGCAAGGCGGGAAACAGTAACAGTAAACTAACTTATGCGACAGCCTGTTAGTCAATTTATGATTAAAGAAGGAATTCCATCACCACCAATTTGCACGAAATCATGACAGTTACATAGGTTTTCTACCGTTGATGTAATATTCTTTCCTCCTACATGTTACTCTAGCTTGTCATATGTATGCTAGCAAATGCTGGTATATTATATAAGCTTTCGTACGATAAAAAGATTGATTGTACATTATGTGTGTACGCAATATTGTCAAGACTAACATCGGAAGTGTTCATTCTGACGTCACAAAGTTTCCGATTCCTAACTTGAGGTTCCCATACTGTATAGTCGGCTACAAAAGGCCCCGACATGAACAAATATAAAAACAATTCAATTGAGCAAACTAACGGCCTAATTTATAACAAAACAATTTACGAAAATCAAATATGACAGACATGAATCAACGATCACCACTGAACTATAGGCTCCTGACTTGGGACAGGCACATAAAGAATGTGGCGGGGTTAAACATGTTTGTAAGGGATCAACCCTCCCTCTAACCTGGGACAGTGGTGTTACAGCACAACATAAGAACAAATTATAAAAATCAGTTGAAAATGGCTTAAATCAGATCGATACAAAACAGAAAAACATCTAACAATAAAATTCGGTTGAAAATGGCTTAACTCATCAGATAGATACAAAGCCGAAAAACATCTAACAAAAACACAGACCAGACGTGGCAGGGTATTTATCCATCCCTCATCCCAAACAACAAAAATGGGAAATGTGTCATTGGGACACAGATGATGCCCCCGCTTGCATATCATATAAAGCTATAAAGGGACATAATTGAAGAACGGTAAAAGTGACGCTACCCAAATTTGTACTTGATCTGAGTTTTGTGGTAATAAGTATTGTGTATAAGTTTCATAACATGTGATTGAGGCAAACTTAAGTTAGAGAACGGAAACGAAAAATTCAGCAATTTTTCCATTTGTAAACGGGCATTACTCTAGAAAAGTTAAAGTGACGCCACCAAAATTCAAACTTGATCTGTGTTTTGTGGTAATAGGTATTGTGTACAAGTTTTGTAACATTTAATTTAAAAATGAAATTGAAAGAAAAAGTAAAAATGTTTGGGTTGAGAATTATAAGGATTAAACACATTTTCTCTAGAGATTATTGAGACACCCTTAAAAAGAGACACACATTTCAGAAAAAATTGTACCGTTTATGTTATTACTACCACTGAGTTGATGCCTCTGCTGGTGGACTGATAGTCCCCGAGGGTATCACAAGCCCAAGTAGTGGCATGGAAATATGGATTTTGTGTTATTAAAATTTGCTGTTACAAAATTTGGAAATTATTTAAAATTAAGGAATGTATCTCCCTCGTGCTTTGACCGGGTTTGTCTATACTTGTTTGTCATTTTTGGTTAATAGCTCTTCATCTTTTTAATAAGCTTTGGATTTTCAAATATTTTGGCCTCGAGCATCACTGAAGAGACATTAATTGTCGAAATACTCATCTGGTGCAGAAAAATGGGTACCGTTTATGTTATTCCACCAGCAAAGTTTTTTCATGCAGAATGTTTTTATTAATATACCAGTTTTAATCTAACAATTTGCCAGAATCGTATTATTATCAAACACCTTGCATGATTTTGATTGGCCTTTGGTACCCACATTTTTGTTTTAGCATACTATCAAATTTAAGATAACAGTGCTATGCTCAATGGCACATTAAAAATCAATCATTAGTGAAGTAAAGTGATATTTGATGGGTATACACACGAGGTTATGGCGGAGGTCTGGTTTGCTCATTACTGTAGCACTGTACTAGAAGGTGATCGATGGCACTGACAGCGCAACGTTAATTCTTATGATTAACGTCATTTGTCAATGAATCTTCAGGTATACATGTATATAACTAGAGGCTTTAAAGAGCCTTTGTCCCTTACCTAGTTATATGTGCATCTTCAACTATGGACGCTCTCCAACATTGTAGACTAGAATAGAATTCAAGATAATAATCACTTGTTTTTTTATCTTGCATTTGTGATATTTTTTTTCTGCTTACAGTTTCTCTCTATCTTCTTTTAATAGTTTTTGCTCAAAAATAAAAAAAGTATAAAAAAATCGTCATTTAAGAGTAATACTCCTATAACGAGTTAACTAAAGAGTTCAGAAAAATTTGACCTACAGTATTTGTAAATCTTGTTTTGCTGATCATTTTTGTCTATCTTTAATAGTTTTCAAGATAATAGGCAAAACCCCCAAATTTGATACAAATCGTCATCAAAGAGCAAGAACTCCATTAAGGAGTTGACTGACGATTAAGGCTACGTTGACGTATTTGTGGATCTTATATTGTTGATAATTCTTGTTATTTAAAGTGTCTATCTATCTATAATAGTTTTCAAGATATTCGACAAAAATGGTAAAAATCGTTATTAAAGGGCTATAACACCAATAAGGAGTCGTCTGACGAATTCGGTAATTGACTTATATGTAAATCTTGTCTTGCTGATTATTTTGGCTTTTTAAAATTTTTCTCTTTCTATTATAATTTCAAAATGATAGGTAAAAAATGTAAAATATTAGTAAAGTTCACCATTTAAGGGCAATAACTCTTAACGAAGTCGTCTGACAGTTTTGACATCTATAGACAGTAGATAGATCTCAACATTTTGACCATTTCCATTTATGTCAGATTTTTTCCACCTATACTGGTTTTCAAGATAGACATAATTTGCATTTTACGCCAATGTTCTATTTTTAGGCATTGTCGACCATGCTGGTTTACAGGCGGGATCGTCAAACACAAATTGAAACAAGATACCTCAAGGATGATTGTGGCCAAGTTTTGGTTCCGATTGGCCCAGTAGTTTCAGAGGAGAAGATTTTGTGTAAAAATTAACGGACGACGGACGACAACTATGGACCATGGACGACAACGACGGACAACGGACGCAAAGTGACGATAATAGCTCACCTGGCCCTATGGGCCAGGTGAGCTAAAATAAGAAGATGTGATATGATTGCCAATGAGACAACTCTTAATCAGAATCCAAAATGACGTTGATGTATGAAGTTTTAGATCACCGTACGGCCTTCAATTAACAAAGAGCAAAATCCAAACCGTATAGAAAGCTATAAAAGACACATTCATGACATAATGTACAACAATTCAAATGAGAAAACCAACGATAAAGGTAAACAAATATGATATACAGCAACAAACAATAATAACTGAATAACAGCCTCCAGCCTAGTAATTAGAAGGTTTTTATCCCTAGTATAAAGAAATATTTCTAATGAAACAAATACTTGTAGTATTGTTTTTCTGTTTGTTTTTCTTTTATTAACTCACTTCAGTAGCGATATTTTACCTTTTAGAAATAAGAACTTAACAAAAGACCGAAAAAAAACATCATTTGGTAATACTAGTATATGTATACTAAACAATTAAGTAATATACTTGGAACTACCATGAAATATCCGGTACTTTTTTAAAGATTATTCTTTGTGATGACCATTCATAGCTTCACCAACGTATCAGGAAAATCAGACATTCTATACCACTGATTTTCTTTTGTCAAAGTCTATGTAGCAACATCAAACTGCTTACATGTACAAACTGACCATTTATAAGTGGTCACTTACAAATTGCGTATCTTGAATAGGTCACAGTCACACAGCAACTAAAGAGAACTACTGAAATGCTCTTGACTTTGGGCAGGAACATGAACATTAACAAAATGTATAAAGAACGTACAACAAACATTAGGAGAATTTTATAATGACGTAATAGCACAAGCAGAACAATGATAGATAATTCAATATCAAAAGATACTCGCTATTACGAAATAAATACAAGCTCAAAGTCCTCAAAGTGCTGATATGAAAATATGCACTCCTACAATCTAATAAATGCCGGCTGTACCAGGAGTAGATTTGATGTAGCAACATCATAATGGCTGCAAGAAAACACGGGTGCGGGAATTTCTCGCTACATTGAAGACCTGTTGGTGACCTTCTGCTGTTGTCTGTTCTATGGTCGGGTTGTTGTCTCTTTGACACATTCCCCATTTCCATTCTCAATTTTACGATCAATTGCGATTCCCAAAATGAATTTTGATAAAATTAAAATTTTAAAAAAATAGAAATATTTTAGCTATATTATTCTTTATCGTAAAAAAAAACACTGCCATTCTGGACAAAATATCAAACAAACCCCAAATACTGCTGCTGCATGAGAATACTTTGCATATTGAGTAGTTGAAGACTGGAAATGATATAGATGAAATGATATGGCCCTATAGAATATCGATGGAATATCAATGTGAAAAAAAAAATATGCTGGTGTTGACGGAATAAACTGATACAATCGTCCAACAAAATCATTGTTTTTGTGATTAAATCTCATCTATAAATAGAACAGTCACTTAGTAAACCTAACCTTCCCATAACCCATGAATTATAAATCATTCCAAATTGCAAATTATTCCCATCGCACTCTCAATATCGCACTTTGGCATTTCAATGAGATAATTTTTCAAATGCAACAAGTGCGGGAAAAAATTGCACTCTTCTGTAGCACATGAATACAAGACTGTTTTATTTTAAGACAGGCCTCCTCTGGCCAAAATGTGTACTTATGATTGATTAGACTCTGTACCAATTAATTGCTATCATAAATCTTTGATTTTCCTTTTAACCTTTAGATATGATATAAAAGTTACTACTAGCAAAGAGATATGGAAATAATTAAGCCTTGTTTATGATATCTTTGCTGTATGTAATAAACACCAGATCTTACCTCCCAGTCTTTATGTATTACTTTTCTTCTGCTCGCTGATTCCGGGGAACCAGGCGCTGAACTTTCCCGTGATGCACCTTCTACGAAAACTTCGTCACTCCCGAAACTGATGTCACTTAGTACACTGACAGTTCGTGCACTATTTTCTGATGCTGCACTGGTAGATCTACTTTCTTCTGCAAGGCGTTCTAACTCTGCTTCTGCGGCGTCTGCTCGATCTTTGACAATATCTAATAAGTTACTCAACACCTGCAAATAATGAGACACGGGAAGTTAGTATTTGTGTTGCAGATCCGGAAATTTTCATAGAGGTGGGTTAGTTATAGATGGTTCCAACTGGAAACAAGGGAATGGACTCTAGGCTTAATTTCGATTTTCACATAATTTTGATTAAACTACAATGAAAGGAGAGAGTTTATAACCAACGGAACCTCCTATGTATCCCACAAAGTACTTATAAAATTGAGAATGGAAATGGGGAATGTGTCAAAGAGACAACAACCCGACCATAGAGCAGACAACAGCCAGAGGCCACCAATGGGTCTTCAATGCAGCGAGCAACTCCCGCACCCGGAGGCGTCCTTCAGCTGGCCCCTAAACAAATATGTATACTAGTGCAGTGATAATGGACGTCATACTAAACTCCAAATTATACACAAGAAACTAAAATTAAAAATGATACAAGAATGCCAGGTCAAGGGTAATAAGTCAAGGTAGTAGGATAGCACATGGGGAAAAAGAATGTATGAACCATGGGGACCCTAGAACGAGACCAGATATGCTGACGAAGTAAGAGTCTCCTGTAATGAATGCATTACATTCCATACATTTCAACATACTTTCAATCACATCATGTTCCCGTACGACGTGTCTCCGTCAAAAAGAAAAGACAATATACTCGGATTCTTGATTTTTGAACATCTTATCCATCAATATTCCAAATTTAGTCTAGGTACGAACTCTTCTTACATACTTAGTAAAAATTATATGCATGTAAATGTATAAAAGCTCTCTTCAAAACAACATGTTATGTAAGATGCAGTATCACTCGTCTGGCAGCCAAAACATTAACGGTACCTAGTATTAACATCAAATTTCAACTTAAAATTCCTTAACTTAACCTAAAATTTCCTATGACAAGCAGCAGGCTAGTAACACTGGCGACTAAACATGTATATCTGCAAGTAAAATCTCCTCTACATATTTTGGTACTAATTGCAACAATTACTCATTGCATTTTTTTAAGTGCTTTTATAATCATGTCATAACCATTGTTTTTTAAGAATCAGCGCGTACATATGAAGTACGTCAGTTTCTAAAAAAATCATATATAATTGTTTTCATATTTTATAAACAACATACTTTATAAAACAGAAACCGTTCTGATCATCAATATTTGAGAAATGTTAGGGATAAATCTTAAAGGTTTTTTCACGAGATCTTAGCAGAAACTATATAAAAATGAGGAGATGTGGTACATGTATGATTGCCAATGAGACAACTATAAACCAAAGATCAAATAAATTGGATGTAAGCAGTTATAGGCAACCGTACGGCCTTCAACAATGAGAACAATCCATACCGTATATTCGGCTATAAAAGGCCCCGACATAAAAAATATGAAACAATTCAATTGAGAAAACTATCGGCCTAATTTATAATAATGTATGTTTCCTAGCGTTAACTATATTGAACCTCGGACGCTCCTCTGGATTCTTGATTTCGAACAATAATTTGCATAAAAACGTGCAAGTGAAATGAATGTCAAATATGGGTATCGAAAAATCCTTCTGTTCCTTTTTTGGTCACATTGAAGTTGGCAATAGCAACCACAACCCTTTTACTTCCATGGTACATATGATACAGATACAAACTATGGAAATCAAATCCAGAGATACATCTCACTGAAGCTGATTTTATTTAGATAATGTCAAATGTTTCAGTATGATTGAATGTGTATGACGCCCAACATCACATACGCTTTTCTTCTTATAAATAGTGATTGAACATTGCTTTTTTTACTTTTTCCATAAATCATAAATTACCAGTATGAAGTTACTGTTAAAAATTATCATTCGTCTTTCCTTACTCTGGTTAAATTTTTTTTTTCTAAATTTATTGATGTATAAACTTGACCGGAAGCTCGCTTAGTAAATGAGTCAAATGATTTTAAACTGTCTCGTAGTCTCGTGGTCGCTTCGAGTACGGGAAGTCATGTGTTTGCTTCCCGCCCGGGTCAAATCAAAGACTTGAAAATCGGTATTTACTGCTTCTCAGTTAAGCACGTAGCATTTAGTAGTAAGCGCAAAGACTGGTCGACATGGAGTCATAATAATGTGTCCTGGTCTTCCTGTGGACTTATGAACTAGCACGATCCGGTTCAGCGTGTCGATCTAATAGAAAGCAGAGTATATATTCATATCACATTAACCTGTTATTGTCCTGAATATGCATTCAAATTGAACGTTAAACAGCCATTAATCATAATCATCATTAAAAGACTTTATTAAGTTTGCGAGCGTGCTGCTCAATTTACACGCGTATGAATTAATAATAATTGGTAAATCCTTTTAATTACGATTATACCAATATATGACATGGACATTAAGTATGAGTTTTCGTTATTACGTTAGTGGTTGCAAAGTTGCAAAACTCATATACATTTCACTTTGAAAATGTAGATTTCTTACAAAAAAATAATGAAATTGAGAAGACAAAATAGAATATTGAAGATCAACACTATTTAATATAATATTGTTAAATTAAGCACAATATTCCAAAGCAATATAAGCCACCAAGTGTATGTAAATGCATTTTAGATTTTAAGATTGTCAAGGATAAAAATTATTTAATATGATATTGTTAATTTAAGCACAATATTCCAAAGCAATATAAGCCACCAAGTGTATGTAAATGCATTTTAGATTTTAAGATTGTCAAGGAGGGATGCCATTTTTTTTTTTTTTAAAAATTTTTAATTATGAAGACGAAAAGGAGAAACAAGTCTAAACCGTTAAACGTAAATAGATAAAATATGAAATGATCAAATTGATCAAAGAAAATGCAATTATGTTAGTAAGATTTAAATTATGTTATCATAATTTCAATAAAATCGTAGTACGCGAACTTACGTTTCACTAAGTAACTTAATACTTACATCGCTTTTCTCCTGAGCATAGTCGAGGTCACGTAATAATTCCAATTCCTTTCTACGGAAATCACTTTCCTTATTTTCTATGGTTTTCTTCAGTGACGTAACTTCAGCTTGTAACGACTTTATCTCTGCATCTTTTTTCGTAAGTTCTGTAGCGAGGTTCTCTACATAGAAAAGGAAGATAATTACATAGAGAATGTATGAAATTATCCTTCTTAATTATCTGTAATGTTGATTACTCGCAGGCAGGTATCTCTGGCCGTAGGGTGCATGCTAATGCACATATATCTTCTCCAGGTTTAACATCCTACGTAGCATAGCACAATAATTAGGATGTTTTTGAAACACACCAACATTTTACCAACAACCCAGTAGCTTTTTGTAAAAAACATCTTTGCATGGATATGATCCTTTCGTTACATTTGGTCTTTCATTGCTTGATTGATTGATTGTTTCTTAGTTTACGTCCATTGGCAAATATCTCATGCATATTCAGGACAAAAACAAATTAGCAATACTCCAATAGGTGGCTCTGAAAGTTGAGTCGACCGGGATAAAAGGCAGGGCATTTATATACAAACAAGCATTCTGTGAGTATTGCCTGACAATACATAGTCCCCTACCGGTTAAAAATTCATTGTACTGGAACAAAATGCTAACTTGATCTATAACTTGTCATGGTGTAAACTATATAACAAATATCAAGTCAATATCTTCAAGCATGACTAAAAAAATTGTGGAAATTGATTATTTGAGTGAATTTTCTAAGTCCAAGGACCATAACTCTGCACAAAATCATCAGACCGGAAGAAAATTCGAATTTGATCTGTAACTTGTCATGATAAAACTATATACCAAACATCAAATCAATATCTTCAAGCATGACAAAAAAAGTGCGAAAAACTGATTATTTGAGTGAATTTTCTAAGTTCAAGGACCAAGGATTGGTGAGAAAAACCCATACCGTATAGTCGGCTATAAAAGGCCCCGAAATGAAAATATGAAACAATTCAATTGAGAAAACTAACGGCCTAACTTATAACAAAATAATTTACGAAAAACAAGTATGACAACCACTGAACTACAGACTCCTGACTTGGGACAGGCACATAAAGAATGTGGTAGGGTTAAACAAGTTTGTGTAGAGGGTTGCTGCTCACAAGGAAGCGATTAAACCAATAGTTCCAAGTGGTGAAGTTGAAATCATCCCTTTGTAAATTTTATGGACGCCATCACGAGTTGGTTGACCGTTATGGAGTATCCGTTTCACAGATGATAGCGGATATGTTCCAAATGTCGTAACTACAATCCCGTCCCCTTTTCCCCGAATGTGACCTACCGAATTAGACTTATTACCGGGTTTGTACCAACTTGAGAAATACGACGGGTGCCACATATGGAGCAGGATCTGCTTACCCTTCCAGAGCACCTGAGATCACCCCCAGTTTTTGACGGGGTTCGTGTTGCTCAGTCTTTAGTTTTCTATGTTGTGATTTGTGTACTGTTGTTTGTCTGTTTGTCTTTTTCTTTATTAGCCATGACATTGTCAGTTTATTTTCGACTTATGAGTTTGAATGTCCCTTTGGTATCTTTTGTCTCTCTCTTTTTGTGAGCGCTAAACCCTCCCCTAACCTGGGACAGTGGTGTTACAGCACAACATATGAACAAAACTATTAAAATCAGTTGAAAGGGCTTAACTCATCAGATCGATACAAAGCAGAAAATATCTAACAAAAACACAGACCGGATGTGGCAGGGTATTTGTGCATCCCTAACAACAAAAAAGACACAAAGTACAGATATGAGAGTACCCGCAGTTACTGACAGCTAGTTCAAAGCCAATAACAATTAATAAAAAAATCATGTATCTAAGACTAAAATATCAATCAGTACACATCCAACATCCAATGGATTTAGTGAAAAGACGTTATTAACAGTCAGAGAAAAACACGACCTTGTGCAATGCCAACATATAGGTATCGACATACTGTAATATCGTGAATGTACATATGTGTAAAACAATAACATTTAGTATGGTTTTAAATTACTAATAACAAAGTCAATATTTAAACCAATAAAACAATAACCAAAGATCTAATTACAGCGTGTAATAGGTAACCTTTTAGAATAAGTTTTTTTAAAGGATTGGTAAGTTTATCCGGATCGTATCTAAATTTCCGGGCTCGGTAAACAACATCATCGTAAAATCAAGGAGACCGTCAGTGGAAAACTTCATCAAAGATATCAGGCTTATAATTATGTATGCCAGATGCACGTTTCAACAACATGAGACTCATCAATTGCATCGAATCAAAACAGTTGGAAGGCCAAATAATCAAAACAGTTGGAAGGCCAAATTATCAAAACAGTTGGATGGCCATATCATCAAAACAGTTGGAAGGTCATATCATCAAAACAGTTGCAAGGCTAAATCATCAAAACAGTTGGAAGGCTTAATCATCAAAACAGTTGGAAGGCTAAATCATCAAAACAGTTGGAAGCCTAAATCATCAAAACAGTTGGAAGGCCAAATCATCAAAACAGTTGGAAGGCCAAATCATCAAAACAGTTGGAAGGCCATATCATTAAAACTGTTGGAAGGCTAAACCATCAAAAAGTTGAAAGGCTAAATCATCAAAACAGTTGCAAGCCTAAATCATCAAAACAGTTGGAAGGCCAAATCATCAAAACAGCTGCAAGCCTAAATCATCAAAACAGTTGGAAGGCCATATCAAATACGAAGTAAAAAAATGTTAGAAACCATAAATATCAAAGAGTTAACTTAAGGCAATCTATGCCGGGTGATAGAAAAACCTCATTGTTTCGAATAATTCAACATTCTAAGTGATATGCAAAAAGAGGGGATGTTGGATGGGTGCAGATATTTGATGATTGTTGTCCACTGTTGATCGCACTGTTTTGATTGATTGATTGATTGATTGATTGGTTGATTGATTGATTGATTGATTGTTGGTTGCTTAACGTCCAGTGGCAAATATTTCATGCATATTCAGAACGAGAACAAATTAACAATAAATACAATAGGTTGGTTCTGTAATAGAGGCGTCCGGGATGAAGGTCGGAGAATTTTAGACTGCCACGGGAAATGGGGATATATTGGTTAGGGACAGATATTTAGCCTTGCAACAGGTCCCCTACTGACCCCTCAAAGAGTTGTTGCAAGGGTTCTTAACGTGCAAAGAGTGTGGCACTCTCTTTACACGCGGCATCGGATTTAACGTCCCCATTCTGACAAGACGTGGCTGCAAATTTGTACATCCCGCACAGCCAAAGGGACGCCCAAATTTGGCGAGGGTTTTACTGCCGGTCGGAGGAAGACCAATGGTGACCATACTTTTATTCCCCAGTCACTCTTGGGGGCGCACTGTTTTTTTATTTTGATATAATATACAGATGGCGCTTTCAATTTTAAATCTTATTTCATTGGGTTTTTATATGTTTTGGTACTCCTATGATTTATCTATTTTGAAGTTTCAAAATATGGTATGAAAAAAATAAAATTCAGTCACATAAAACTCGAAAAAGGGATGCATTTTTTACTATAACATTCTGTGCGGATCGTAAGATCAAAGCAAGTATGAAATAAGATTTTTTACATCGAACGTCATATCACCCACCTGTACTCATAAAATATCAGAACATAATAATTAGTGTTATATTGAGAATTATTTATATTCTTGAAACAAACCACCTTCTCAAGAAAATAAAAGAAACATCACCCAACACGAAACAATTTGTTATAGACAATAAACTTTGATGTTTCTATTTATGATTATTGTTGATAATTTCCCTTACTTTAAACACTATTTATGTTCCCATAATAAGATTAAGATTGATCAACGACGCACTGACAAATTATATGTGACCTCTATGGTATCACAAAGTGACCTCAATGGTACCACAAAGTGACCTCTATGGTATCACAAAGTGACCTCAATGGTATCACAAAGTGACCTCTATGGTATCACAAAGTGACCTCTATGGAATTACAAAAAGGAACAAAATCGTAGCCACAGAAAACAAAGCCATCTCGTTTATAGAGACAAAGGATAAAAAGAACACCATTATAATGATTTTTGACACTTAATGATCTAGGCTAATCAAGAGCAAACATTAGTTTCCAAATTTATAATATCGTTTTTTTTTTTTTACCTTCGCTTCAATTTAACATGCATGAAAATGTGGAATTTATTTTATTTCTATTTTACCAGCGTGTAATCTCGTGTAAATAAATAACAATGATGAATGCACTGAAAACATCAAGGGTAGAGTGCAAAATTGATTATCATATACGTTTAATTATTTATATTAACAGCTATTATACTTTTATTACTACTTATTTTTAAGTCATTATTGTTTATATCGTGCATTTTTTAAACGTATTTCTTTCTTTTTTTTTGGCAATTATATCTGTCAACATCTATTTATACACATTTGATATCTTTGCATTTTTTTAAATTACTTTTTATGCAATTACGTCTGTCAATATCTATCTACGCGCACAAAAATAACAAGATTTAATATCTCTTTGAACTATGCCTCTTTAACACTTAAATATCAGCAATAAAAATAAACCCTTGTTCATGTTTCATCGCCTGTAATGATTCTGCTATCATACAGCACCTAAGTGATGCCTCCTTGGTGATTTAGGACAAACACGATCCGTTTTAGAATTAATTAAATGGAGGAATACTGGTATAAAAGGGGAGACATGGTATGATATGTATACTTAAACAAGCAAAGTAAAATAGATATAACAACATTTAAATTCGAGGAATTGTTTTGTCTCTGCCATGACCACAAGATCACGTGGATCAAACTGGATCCCGGTGTCAGAAAGCTATGTTAGTATTCCAGCTTAATTGGGGATACCTTCTATACGTTTATTCTGTGCAGAAAACTTCAGTTAAAACAGTCAAAGAACATTCAATTAAAACACAGGTGAACACCTGGAACACTTGTCTCAGGTACAAAACGTATCTTTTTAATACTTGTTAAGCTGTGAAACTATTTTCGGCCTCGCTATCAAACGGAAATACTTCAATAATATAGTTTTTTTGTTTACATTTTTGTAATTGAGCACATTGTTCAGAGAAACATCTCAAGCATTTATGTGAGGATGTTGGTAATTCAGAAGATAAAT